CATTAAGAACAGAGATGGGAAGTAACAAAGTACAAATACTTCGTTGCTGTACTCAAGAAGATTTTTCTGATATTTTTACTTTACTACAAATTTTTATGGTGACTTTTTACTTCTACTCCTTACATTTTTACACAAATATCTGTACTTTCTACTCCTTACATATAAAAAAATTGGCTCGTTACTTTAGTTTTGAATCATTTCAATGGAGTTACCGTTATTATTTTTCACGTCATCAATACCAAATTCAATCTAATTGGATGGGAATCTACGTTGCATTTGACGCACCACTACAAGATGAATCGACAGATTCAGCGGTATTCATTCGCGGCAAATCATTGCAGCTTGGTGGCGGTGGCGTTAGCATAGTAGTATGGACGACGAGATGATTGAAAATGAACACAACGGAGATCTAGTCCTATTGGCAGACATCCATTTAAAATGTAGGCAACGGCATGAAAAAAGTGGTTTCTACTTTTACTTTTATACTTTAAGTACATTTACAAGCATGTACTTTGTTACTTTTACTTGAGTAAAGAAGTTTAATCAGTACTTCCACTTTTACCAGAGTATTTTTTAACACAAGTATCTGTACTTTTACTCAAGTACGGAAAGTGAGTACTTTTGCCATCTCTGATTAAGAACCGAACACATGAGAGAAAATTTTGCTCAGTATTAGACAGAGGTAAGACTTTTAATTATAAAATAAAATTAAGGGATTATAAAGCTATCCTAACTAATCCTTCCAGGCAGAGATTCCTAAATGTATCTGATATCATTAAACTTAAACAAATGCATTGAAGCAGATGTTTTTAGTTAGTGAAAGGCCTATAATGGTGAGAGTTATTGTCAGAATTATAAATATTTAGATTTCTCCGTATTTTCACATCCCTGCCTGATTAGAACTGATCAAAAGAAAATTATCTTGTCATCTGATTGGTTAATCTCCAATAAAGACAGGGTTATTGTTAGAACCCCATTATTTGTAATGAGGAATTGAGTATAAAGCTTTTTATTACATCGCATCTGATTTCTATCATTCATTTTTGGATGTCATGACGCTTTAGAATAATCTCATACAGAGTACATTTATTTTTTAAACTTTTACTTTGATGGTTTTTAATCTTAAACTACCACCATATGATTTTCCCATGTATTTTTAATAAGGAACTGTGTAGTGTTTCGGGGATTTTAAATCATAGATACAGAATTTTTAATAATTATACGTCTATGTCTAATAAAACAAAAGCAAACTTGTTAACTAGCCCTTTCAGATTATGGATAAAACATCTTTAGCCATGACTAGTTAAATGTGTCCTGATATTTCAGTATATCACAGCTTAGTTTGTCATAAAAGCTGAAATATCTGATTTGAATGTAGCAAAGGGAGGAAATGTTATTGTTGTAAAGGTTAAATAGTCTCCATTATGTTATGGTAATTTTAGAATTACTGAAGTGTAACTAAAGTGGAATAATCTATTTATCTCAAGATTAATGCTTCTTACATTCACGTTTTAGGAAAACTATTGGCTTTGTATAAAACTGGTGAATATGTCATCTTACAATAAAAAAAAAATACATCAATGGTTTTTAAACATTCAGTTTTTTAGATAACAGCTCATTCTGTGTTGATCTTTATTTAAAGTAGGTCATAAGTATGTCATTGTCATCTAAAAAAAAGTGTTAAAATGAAGCTCTAGCGGAAGTTCAATTGAAGAAACTCTGGCTTACCTCCATCAATCAGAAGATGATCCGTCTCCGAAGCGAGCCAATCAGCTTCGAACTACTCCACCACGAAGCCCAATCAGCGTCCTGCTTCCACTTTATAAACTCCTTTCAAATCTCACCCCAGCCGCTATCCTGCAATCGCAATGTCGGATTTCGATTCAGACGACAATTCACCCACCTCCATCCCCTTCTCCGCCATAGCAGCCGAATCGTCCTTCATGACACAACTTCACCTCAACCTCATCAGAGAGTATTAATCCCAGTTGTCACCATCCCTCGTCTCATCGCATTGGTCCGGCAGAAGACCACCATGTTGAGCCCGGTTCTGTCAGAGGTTTCTTCCCAAAGGGGATTTTTCCTCTCCACTGTCGCTTCATGCTTGCTCATCATGGACAGTTCACGGTACCTGCATCACCGAGCAGGACCTCTATATCCCGACTCTGAGTGAAGCCCCGGCGTCAGCTTCCTCAGTCTTCTAGTCCCACAATTCTGCTCAGCAGATCACCTTGTCAACCAGCTCGGATTAAACCACCACCAGTTTCAGGCCGGGGAGAACATCCCTATTCTCATTCATCTACTCATGCATGTTAAAGCATAATTCAGCATGAATGTTCCTGCCGAGGTCTGAGCGCCAAAGACTATACTTTCTTATCAATAAATTCTTCTAATGATCTTTTCTCTCTGTGTGAGTTTTTCAGATTGAACTAGTGTTTTAAAAGTCATAAAAATATAGGCCTCAATGTTGCAGTAATAATTTCAATATCTTGGTATATCCAGTTAACTGAAGATAACTTTGAATACCTCATTCTCACATTTAATTTTCATTAAAAAAAATCAACAACACAAATAAAAAGGTTTTGCTATAATGGTGTTTTAAATGTGATTAATTTTCTTTTTTACAATAGCAACATTTGTTTGCTCATGATACTGTGGAAAAAGATCTCATTATATGAAGATATTGGAGTTCTTTATCTTTAGTACAAACTCCAAATCTGAAGTCTCAAAGCCTCTTTACCATCACCCTAATCTTTGATCCTACAGATGAAAGGTTTTTAAGATTTGATATATAACTTTAAAAATAACATGAGGGTTTAAAATATTTTGTCTTGAAATATTAGAGCTTTTTTTGGCCGTTAAATTGGTTTAAATATCATCTAAAGATAACAGTGTTCATTCTGTAACGATGCTGATTTAAGTATTGTTTTTAAATATGTCATATCTTAATATATAGGATATTGTTTCACTATGGTTGTTGTTTAAAAATATGTATCTCAAAAATCAGGAGTTTTTAAAAAGGTTATTGCCCATCAATATCTGAACATCCTAATATTTCAGATATTTTAGTAATTAAAGACATACTTTTTGTTCTGATAAAATTCCTGATCTACTTTAGATGCAAAAGATTAATTTATCATAATCCTGGTTTAATCAAAACTTTTATTTTATTTTCTGATCCTGTGGCCAATCTCAATATCTTAAGATAAAGGGGAACATTTAACCCGTATATGAGTTTAAACTCTTAAAATCATCACTTCAATCTTTTCATGCTATTTGTTTAAATCTATAACTTGTTTTAAGACAATGTGGATCTTTTTTTCTTATTGATATAAGATCAAGATACAGCTGGGTTTTGTCATCACAGTGATTTAAATATTTCAACATTTTAAAATAATAGGGTTAACTTTACAAACGTGGATAAATATTTATCCCCAAGTGATGGGTTCTGTAAAATCTATATATTTAGCGTTGATGACATGGTTTTGTTATTATAATGGTTTGAATAACTCAAAATAACAAAGATAGTTCGACATTAAAGTTTTACTGATCTCATTACCACACAATTATGATACTTATTTATGAAACAGGTGAATTTAGTTTAATGTTTCTCTGAAAGAACAGGATACCGCTGATGAAAACTCACAAGACAGAAATGATCAGTTCAGTTAAAATTCTTCCCAACAGTCATCCTTCATAGATATTTTTCAACATTTGGGCATTTATCTGTAACTGTAATATAACGAGGCTGCAACTAATGATTATTTAGATAATCAATTAATCTGTTGATTATTTGTTCAAAAAATAATCTTAAAAAAAAATCTTAAAGAAGAATTTTTACAAAATTAAACCAGGAGAAACAAAAATTTTTCCACTTGAGGATTTCTGGATAGAGCATATTGACTGACAATTTTTTTTTTCATCTTGAATGCAAAATGTTTATATTTTTTTCAACTATTTTGATATAATTGCTGCTCTAAGTGGGTCGCTCTGTCAGCGAAAGGCATATTTTACAGTCTCTGCACTCAAGTTAACAATTAAACGATTACTAAATTAGTTGAAGGTTATTTGTTAGGGATGCACGATATTGGGATTTTGGCCAATATCCGATATGCCGATATTTTAAAACTCATCTAGCCGATAACCGATATCGATACTGATGTTAAAGCTGGACAAAAATAAGTAGTCATTGAAAATAGCAGTTTTGTTATCCATTTCTGACACTTTGAAAGATAATATACTCAAATATATTTTCATATGCTGATATCAAATAGATTTTTAAAAACGCGGTATCCATCTATTTTACTTTTTAAAATCTCGAGAAATTTCATCATTCTGTTACAAACTCTTGTGATATTTTGCAAATTCTTGTGAGATTTTGTTAGTAAAATAGATCGATACCAAGTCAATATATCAACATATAAAAATATGGCAAAATTTCGTGAATTTTCGGGGGATTTCGTAGCATAACGATGACATATAGCAATATTTCATTAGTAAAAGAGATTGATATGGTGTTTTTAAATGGCAATCTATCAGCATATGAACATATTGTGATATTTTAATGTATCAATATTTTTTCCCTCGTCTTTAGAAGTTTTTAAGTCTGTAAAAAATAAGTTTTTGAGGAAGAAGAAGAAGTAGTATTTTATTTTATTTTTTAGACTTTAGAAACTCAGAAGCTGATCAAATATCGGGTTAAATATCGGTGGGGTGGTCGATGTCCGATATTCAATTTTAAGGCCGATACAGGCCGATACCCATAGGGGGCCGATTATATTGTGCATCCCTAGTTATTTCAATAATTGGTTAATCACCATTAATTCGATGAATTGTTTCAGCCCTAAATATAATCAAATAAAATCTTTAATATCAGACAGAATGGGATTATCGAATTCTCTTTGAAAATATCATCTACATCTTGTTTGTATACTTAAAAGAAACATATCTGCTATTCAACCCTAATTAAAGAATCCATTTTATCTCCTTTTTTTTAACAGAGATTATGAACGATGTTATCAAGAAGGTGAAGAAGAAGGGAGAATGGAAGGTGAGTTCAATGATTTCACCCTTACATAAGAAGATGGAAACTCCATTGATATAATCAGTTTCAAAGATAAATTTCATCTGGATTCTTTTTGTGGTGCCACAACCTTTCATGGAATTTTTCTTTTATTGGTTTAATATAAAAAACAACATATCATTGGTTTTCTTTTAGATAGTATTATAAAAGATAAAAATGAAGTTTCCTCTCCCAGTTTTGAAAATCTGGATATAATAAAAAATTTTTAGAGCCCTGTTCAAATTTCAGGGCTCAAGTTTTTAGACATTTTTTATTTCATGTGCAATTTATCATGTATAATTGGACCGGTAAAACAAACCTGTTAGCGAATAAAGGTTTAAATATAAAAAGCTGTAACAGAACGGTTGCATGAATGTAAACACTTTCAACTAAACATTTGTGTAAAATTTTGTCAAATGCAAAAAAAATAAATAAATAAATCCCTGATGTCTCTGGTGTCACACATTTAATAAGATTAAAAGATTTTAATTCCACAACTAAAGGAGAGACATTTCTTTTCTTAACCAGTCAGCTGACCTAACCCTACCCTCAGGATAATGTGAGCAATAGAGATTATTTGCACTTAACTGACCTTTGCCCTCTGTCTACAGGCTCTGATTGTGGACCAGCTGAGCATGAGGATGTTGTCTTCCTGTTGCAAGATGACAGACATCATGACGGAGGGCATTACCAGTAAGAGAAAAATGCAACTTAGCTCTACTCTTTAAGGCTTCCTTTTGTTAAATGCATATCATCACGTGTCCGTCTCTGTATTTAAAGTTGTGGAGGACATAAACAAGCGTCGAGAGCCACTTCCCAGCCTGGAGGCCATTTATCTGATTACACCAACAGAGAAGGTAAGGATGTAAAATCAGGAATCACCTGTGATTAGGGCTGCAACTAATCATCAGTTAATCTGTCAAGTATTTTTTCTATTAATTGATTAATAATCGGTTTTGAAAGAAGACGTTTTGTAAAATTAATCCAAGTGAAAATAAAGCTTTTCCACTTGAAGAGTGCTGGATAGATCATACTGGCAGACAAAAAATGTTTTTATCTTCAATGAAAAATGGTTACACATTTTTTTTTATTTTTAATAATTTTGGTATAATTTCTGCACACATCTAAACACATCAGACAGAGCAACGTTTGCTAAAGGCACAGCCTCTACACTCCAGTTAACGATTAATCAATTACTAAATTGATGATTATTTCAATAATTGATTAATCTGATTAATTGATTCAGCCCTACTTGTGATCAGTCACATTTTACTGACCTAAGGTCGTTTTGTTACCAGACTCAAAAAATACCCTAACTAGATCTTGTCTGACAACAAGAAGTAGGCTGAAAGATCTCGAAAACAAAACAAAAGTAAAAGTAAGAAATTCAAGTGTAGATGAGAAAAAAAGTGACACCTATCAGACAGGAAAGGTCATTCTAAAGCTGTAAGATTCCCCAAAAAACTGTTTATTGGATACATCTAGTAGAAATCTGTAGAAAATTCTGATTTAGTTGCTATAACTTGACCTCAAACAGTTGCTTTAAGGTTTTACTTTGACCTTAAATGTGGAAATAAATAAATAAATTGGAATCAGAACTTGTTTTAATGGCCAAGGTTGTGTGTACATCCTAGATGAAACATGATGAGCAACTGTGCAAAGAATTCTGGGCCCAAATATCTTCACATTGTTAAAAGTGACCCACTGTCAGTCAAATCTTGATCTCATCTGCTGTTTCCAGCAGAGGTGCGCCCAGTTATAAGGTCTAGGGGGCAGTTACTGTACACACTAAAAAGTTGTTTATGATTTGAAACCTTAACCGTGACAAATAAAAAAAAAATCTATAAAGGGATTAAAACTTTTATCTCTGGGAATCCATTCAGCCAACCTAATGACAAAAACCCAGGAGCAATTCAACAATAAATAAAACTAAGCCAACATCACATACAGTGACGGTCACCTACAGATCTATATAATATTTCTAATGTTATAAAGTACAATTTCAGTTGTAACGGTTAATTCAACAAGCTCATATGAGATCTTGGGAGTTTAATCCTTAACAGCAGCAATTTAATCTCACCAGTTTCAGATAAAATTTATTTAAAGGTCTTCAGAAGTTTTGGTTAAGAAATTCACTAACAATGGGTCTGAGCAACGTTCAGACAGTGATTTTAGTCTATTTGCCTTTTATAGCATATTTGTGATCAGGGTAAACAAAGTTTTTAAAAGTAATTAATGAGTGGATCAGAGGGGATACAATACATTTTATGTTTTTTGTAATCTACATTAGATAATGAACGGTTTTTAATAAAAAAAAAGAAAAAAAAACGCACGGTAAACCACTTATTATATAATTCTGTCTTTTTTTTATTTTAGAAAAAATAACCAATTAAACATATTATTATCACTGAGCAAATTAAATCAGAAAGCAAAGAACATCCTTAACTTCTGTGCTAACTCTGCTAAAAATCTTGCTAGTTACATTGCTTAAGATCAAAATTGATTATGACTCTAATCCAAACAAACTATGATTAAAATGTTTTTTGTTTTTTGTTATACCATTAATCAAACACGAAAATGTTTATTTAATCTCAGTAAAGGCAGGAAGACAAGGGTTTAAAAAAATTATGAAACAAAAATGGACAATAATAATATTTAGGAAAGTGACAACCATTTCTGTATATATGTGATATTTTCAATAATGGAAAAAAAAAACAGAATGAGCTATAGGTTTACATTCATGATCTTATTATAATTGATCATATTTATATCTCTGTTATTAAATTAGTTAGCAGTTTTTATAAGCTTAGCTTAAAGAAACCTGTTTTATTTTGAAAAACATATATGTTTTAGATAAATTTAATAAACCATTTTTATAGGTAAACCGTCTTATATTCTTGTCTCAAGAATTACATGTTAATTTTTAAATGAGCTGAGTTAAACTATATCAAATTTCTTCTCTTTTCAGTCGGTCCACACACTCATTTCGGACTTCAAAGACCCTCATTCAGCTAAATACAAGGCAGCCCATGTTTTCTTTACGGACTGTGAGTAAACAGAAAATAAACACATTTTAATGTTTGTTTTCAAATCTACTGGCAAAATAGTGTCTTAATATGTTATCTGCATCAAACTCATTGATGGTTATTGTGGAAAGAAGCTAAATTTATATTTAAGGCTCATTTAAATTAGAAATTAATGTCATCCATTGTATAAAAATGTATGTACATTATATGAGGTTTTTTTTTTTATTTAACCATTTGGATTAATACTTTGCTGAAATTAGTGTATACAAGTGGAGTCAGAGGAAATAGTTTTTTTTTGTTTTTCCAGCCTGCCCTGATCCGCTCTTCAATGAGCTGGTTAAGAGCCGGACCTCTAAAGTCACCAAGACTCTGACAGAAATCAACATCGCCTTCTTGCCCTACGAGTCTCAGGTAAACATCCAGCTAAACATCCGACATATCAAAGTAAAGCATGAAGTCGTCTGCATAACAGCTGATTGTAGGTTATCAGGGCTTATACAGGAATGAATAACTCACATTTAAGGCTTTTTAATGCTCTTAGAAATAATTTTAATGCCACCAACAGGTAACCGTCGACAGGCTGCAGCCATGTCCAGAATTCCTTGTTTTCCAGCCACTTTTATTTAAATTTGCGTTTTTCCCCCCATTCTCTAGCTTTTTCTATCGCTTTGCGATCAACCGGAAGCAGTTCCACACAAATATATCGTGATATAATATGTCTGACGAAAATGCTTTTATAAATATTTCTTTTAATAAAGCATTTTAAAAACCACAATAAACACATTTAATGAATTTTAATGCCAATTAAGGCCTTCATTTAAAAAAATAATAATTTAATGACTTTTAATGATTTTTAATGACCCGCGGAAACCCTGGTTATGCATCTTGTGATTTCGGATCTTATCATAATCACAATAATGTAATTGTTTTTTAAAACGGTTCTCTGTTGTAAATGAGACACTAAGTCTCAAGAGATTTTCCTGTCTACATAAGGACTTAAATAAAACTTAAATAAAGATAACTTAGCTGGTTATTAAATACCAAAAAGAATGAACATTTCACTCAAAATTCCCTCATACAATATTGGATGATACTTATAATGCAAACAGGTATTTCAACATAAGTATGCTCCAATAAATATTGTTTTCACTTTGCTGGGGAAACCTTGGACAAAAGAAAGATAGAGAGATTAAAAAAAAATTAAACAGGAGAAGATAAACCCCCACCCCATCACAGAGGAACAAACTACCTCCTATCTTCATCCAGGTGAACAAGACCTCCTTTAACGACCGACCCTTAACAATCATAGACAGCTTTCAGATATTACAGGCTAACAATGGAACCAAACGACCCGTTCGTCGGTTTCAATTTGCATGTTTCCAAGCGATACAAGGCCTTGTCTATATAAAGACTCAACTCACTGCGGATCCAGACATTTGAATTGAGAAAGCTTCCTGGAGAGGAAGTGAAACGTCTTCAAACCTTGGAAATCAAGTCCGGTGGATTGTTTTTTAAACTTTTACGGAAGGAGCAGATAAAGATCAAATGCATACAGAGAAGAGACGACGCCACGAAGGACACGGACAGGAATACTAGCTGTGAGGTTGTTTTTATTTTCTGAGATCGATAGGAACGCAAACACAGGCTCAGGTGGTGGATGCTGAGTCATGATTCACAGTTTACCAGCAGACTGTTCCAGAAAGACACGCATTTGTCACAGTGACTTTTTTCCCTCCCTACTGCCTTCCTACTCCCTCGCTCTGTGTCCTTCTCTAATGTCCCTCCAGCCAGCTTTTTATCCCAGTTATTGGACACTGCTAATACGCTCATCTCTACTTTTGCCACTTTAAATCTTGCTATTTTTGCCTCATCCATCCACCGTTAACTCATTCTCTCCATTCTCTGTAATTCTTGTGACCCACAATGCTTTCCTCCTCTCCTGTCAGCAATGATTAATTCAGAGTCAGTGGTTTACTGCTGGAAGCAAAATGCTCTCTGTCCCGCCTACCTAAAGCAGATTGCATTCATTTTATTGGATGAGGATGGATCTACACAGCAGTTTGTAGCCAATGATTGTTTAGCCAATGCAGGGGACCCTTCTGCAGAACAGACATGGTCATGTGATTGTGAACAGATGGGGTGGGAGGAAGGAGAGGAACCAACTAGAGGTGGATGATAGAAAAGGTGACATACAGAGTAGAGCGAAAAAGAGCAAAAAATCAGATGTGAAAAGAAAACGCTCTGTTTTGAGAAAATGAAATGCAATAGGTTATGTTAAAGGAGCAAAAAAAAAAAAAAAAAAAAAAGCTAAAATGTCAAGATAAAAGCCTGAAATGCATTATGATATTGTCTGTGCAGGTGTACTCTCTGGACAACCCAGATGCCTTCCACAGTTTCTACAGCCCTCACAAGGCCCAGCTGAAGAACCCAGTAATGGAGAGGCTGGCCGAACAGCTGGCCACGCTCTGCGCCACCCTGAAGGAGTACCCGGCTGTCAGATACCGAGGGTGATTTGCCCTTTATAGGTCAAATTCAGGAAACATACATCGTCGCGCTATGGACACTACTGTCTCACATAGACAGGAGCTTATAAACACATAGCTCACTGTATTTTGTTCCCTATAAAAGGAGGCACTCTGTTTACTGTTTGAAACAATTTAAAAAATGCTTTGAAATCTTTGATCCTGCTTATCTGAACAAATACTGGAATTATACAGCCGGATTAACAGTCGGGGAGAAAAACAGCATATCTTTATAAAGTCTAATGTGCATATGTAGCACACAGCATATGCAAAACAGAGAAATACATAAATTTCTTTCCACTGCGTAATACTTTAATTGATTCATCCATCCGTTTGCGCTCTCCTAGGGAGTACAAGGACAATGCCACCCTTGCCCAGCTGGTTCAGGACAAACTGGACGCCTATAAGGCTGATGACCCCACCATGGGAGAGGTGAGCCTAAGCAACTTAAACAAACATCCCTTTAAAGGTGACATTATGTAATTAATGGGTGTGAGTTTATATCTTTTTGCAGGGTCCTGATAAGGCCCGCTCACAGCTGATCATCCTGGACCGAGGTTTCGACCCGGTGTCCCCCGTCCTACACGAGCTCACCTTCCAGGCCATGGGCTACGACCTGCTGCCCATCGAAAACGACGTCTACAAGTGAGGGAAAAAAACAGCAGGAATGCAAACAATAAAAAGCGTAATTAGGGCCAAATTGGAGGCTTAAAATTTCTTGGGCTGTCTCATCCTCCCGCAGATATGAGACCAGTGGTATCGGAGACTCACGCGTCAAGGAGGTTCTTCTGCATGAAGACGATGACCTGTGGGTGAGCCTGAGACACAAACACATAGCCGAGGTGTCCCAGTAAGTACTTTTCTTTATCAAGCTCTCGTTTACAAAAAAATCCAAACTTGTGGGGTTATTTTAATGGCATTTATTTTCTTTGTGCTATGAAATTAGGGAAGTCACACGTCAGCTAAAGGACTTTTCTGCCAGCAAGAGGATGAACACTGGTGAGAAGGTAAGGACAGAAATAAACAAGGGCTTATAGAAAAATACTGTAGGATAAAATAAACTACAATACTTTATATTTCATGGGTATAAGGATAAGAGTATTCCTACAGGATTTTTTTGCACAAGTCTTTTTTTGTAATCACAAGTAGAGGAAATACCAGCTGACAGGTGGGCAGGGGATGCATTTCACCTTTGTTTTCTATTTCCCAAGACTCTCTTCCTCCTCAAAAGAAGAAGCAAAGGCCTCTGATTCGTTATCAGGGAAAATTATTGTTTCTTATTGAGCTACAGTAATGACAGAGTAGTTAACTTAACCAACGCTTAATGCCAGTACCTTTTTAACAGCTGTAAGATAGATGGCTCCTAATTATTCACCTCTAAAAGACAATCAGAATTTGAACATCAATGCTGCCAAAAAATAGTCTAGTCTGCCTAAAAAAACACTTTCTATTTCTAATGGAAGGCATGCGACCAGGACCACATCGGTCGGTGTTTGTAGAAAGGCTGGACAAAGATGGCATTGTTATAATTAGAGTTTATTAAGTTGATCAAAGCTGCAAGCTGAGTGAAAAAAGTTAACATGCCATCTAATACAACATTTTTTATTCTTTAACTTTGTTTATTGAGTTTTATGTTTTTTTTCCAAAACCAGACACAGGTTTACAAACCCACCCAAAATAGAGTCCCAACCTCTAGATAATAATAAAATAAAATAATGACAAAAATAAGCATACAAAAAAAGAAAAGAAAATAAATACAGAGGGAAAAATATTGCTGAGTAGATAAAAGACACTGTATGCTAAGGTTGTTTTATAGACACACACACATACATGTACACTATATTGCCAAAAGTATTTGCTCACCCATCCAAATTATTGGAATCAGGTGTTCCAATCACTTCCATGGCCACAGGTGTATAAATTCAAGCACCTAGGCATGCAGACTGTTTTTACAAACATTTGTGAAAGAATGGGTCGCTCTCAGGAGCTCAGTGAATTCCAGCGTGGAACTGTGATAGGATGCCACCTGTGCAACAAATCCAGTCGTGAAATTTCCTCGCTCCTAAATATTCCACAGTCAACTGTCAGCTGTATTATAAGAAAATGGAAGTGTTTGGGAACGACAGCAACTCAGCCACGAAGTGGTAGGCCACGTAAACTGACGGAGCGGGGTCAGCGGATGCTGACGCGCATAGTGCGAAGAGGTCGCCAACTTTCTGCAGAGTCAATCACTACAGACCTCCAAACTTCATGTGGCCTTCAGATTAGCTCAAGAACAGTGCGCAGAGAGCTTCATGGAATGGGTTTCCATGGTCGAGCAGCTGCATCCAAGCCATACATCACCAAGTGCAATGCAAAGCGTCGGATGCGGTGGTGTAAAGCACGCCGCCACTGGACTCTAGAGCAGTGGAGACGCGTTCTCTGGAGTGACGAATCGCGCTTCTCCATCTGGCAATCTGATGGACGGGTCTGGGTTTGGCGGTTGCCAGGAGAACGGTACTTGTCTGACTGCATTGTGCCAAGTGTAAAGTTTGGTGGAGGGGGGATTATGGTGTGAGGTTGTTTTTCAGGAGCTGGGCTTGGCCCCTTAGTTCCAGTGAAAGGAACTCTGAATGCTTCAGCATACCAAGACATTTTGGACAATTCCATGCTCCCAACTTTGTGGGAACAGTTTGGAGCTGGCCCCTTCCTCTTCCAACATGACTGTGCACCAGTGCACAAAGCAAGGTCCATAAAGACATGGATGACAGAGTCTGGTGTGGATGAACTTGACTGGCCTGCACAGAGTCCTGACCTCAACCCGATAGAACACCTTTGGGATGAATTAGAGCGGAGACTGAGAGCCAGGCCTTCTCGTCCAACATCAGTGTGCGACCTCACAAATGCGCTTCTGGAAGAATGGTCAAAAATTCCCATAAACACACTCCTAAACCTTGTGGACAGCCTTCCCAGAAGAGTTGAAGCTGTTCTAGCTGCAAAGGGTGGACCGACGTCATATTGAACCCTATGGATTAGGAACGGGATGTCACTTAAGCTCATATGTGAGTCAAGGCAGGTGAGCAAATACTTTTGGCAATATAGTGTATGTATATACATATTATATAACATCTTTTCTACATACCTGAAAAAAGGGTTGCCACACCTTATAAAATTGAACATCTAAGTGTATTTTTCCCATTCTCAAATTAAAAGGAGAGTTTCTGATCCATAGGATGTTCAGTATGAAGTCTAAAATACAGTTGAATTCATATTTTTGCTGGTTATCGGTTAATTTTTAAGTTGTTTTTATTCTTTGTTGTTATGAATGTTTTATAATAATAATAAAATATATTTTTGTTTTAACAGACCACGATGAGGGATTTGTCCCAGATGCTGAAGAAGATGCCACAGTACCAGAAGGAGCTCAGCAAGGTGTGTGCATGTGAGCATAGTTGAAGTTTCTTCCTTAGGGTAAAAAGCAGATATTCAGTCTTTTGTTTTGTCTTTTTCAGTACTCCACTCACCTGCAGCTTGCTGAGGACTGCATGAAGCACTACCAGGGAACAGTGGACAAGCTGTGCCGCGTGGAACAGGTGAGGGAAGACCGCCTAAGAAAATAAGAGAACAAGTGTTGAGGGGAACCAATGTCATGAAAAGCAATACGAAAGCTGAGTTTGTTGCTGTAGGATTTGGCTATGGGCACCGATGCTGAAGGGGAGAAGATCAAAGACCCAATGAGGGCCATCGTTCCCATTCTGCTGGATGCCAACGTCAGCACATATGATAAGATCCGTATCATCCTGCTGTACATCTTCCTCAAGAACGGTAAGAAAATTGCTAACACAAGCAAATTAAGCTGCACAGGTGCAATAAATCTCTCATGTTTTTACTTTTAAATGTCATTGAAATTGAACTGCATTTCTGTCTGGGCTTTGACTAGGCCGGAGACATGATTATTGTTTTATCTTAATTGGGTAAACTGTGGGCAAACTTCCATCTCAGTCTCAAATCTGAACTTGTTCTCCATAACTTCTGGAAAAAAAAAAAAAAAACTCAGCATGCTGCTGCCACTACTGTGTTTCACTGCAGTGGAATCCTAGCTACCTTCTATAAAGAGCATTTTCAATAAAGGCTAATAAAGTTAGTTTGGGTTTGATATGACCAGAGCTCCTTCTATCACATGTTTATTTTGATCAACAACATGGAAGTCCTGCCAGTTGTTGGTGTGGTGGTGATGGGTTCTTGCGGAGTTAATGAAAATCCAAAGTTAACAGAAGCAAAGTCCAAAAACAAAATACAGAAAACCAAAAAACCAGGGTACACCAGAGAGAAACAACACATGGGGAGCTGGTGTAGAATCTCAGTCAGCCAGGTCATTGTCATTCCAAAAAGAGAAAGTAAAAAAAAATCCCCTGACGAAATATGGAGTGGTGTATGCAGTTAATTGCAGTGAGGAATGCTCTGATCTTTATATTGGAGAAACCAAACAACCTCTCTGCAGACGCATGGCCCAACACAGAAGAGCGACCTCCTCTGGACAAGACTCTGCGGTACATCTACACCTTATGGACAAAGGACATTCTTTGGAGGACCAGAATGTTCACAGAATGTTGGACAAAGAAAATAGGTGGTTTGAGAGGGGTGTGAAGGAAGCCATCTATGTTAGGAAGAAAAACAACCTTAAACAGAGGGGATGGACTCAGCTTTCAAACATCTATAGACTTGATTCCTTCCCGCTGTCATCGCAACCCCAATCCCTGTACAGGAGAGCAGGCCAAAAATTCCCTTTAACGACCCCCCTTTCAAGGCAAGGCAAATTTATTTGTATAGCACAATTCAGTACAAAGACAATGCAAAGTGCTTTACATGATTAAAATACAGGAAGATAAAACAGAATCAAAGCAAGTAGGAAAAAAATAAAAAATAAATAAAATAAAATAAAAAAATGCAGAAACAAAAAAGAATATTAAAAACAGCTGGGTTAGCATTTGATCAAAAATTTCTCCTTGGGCAGTTGACAATTCCCCAGAACCTTGCCTTTTGTTCTACTACCATAGAACTGCAAAACCTTTCCCATTATCTACAGGTAATTTAACTCTGCCCGATATGCAATTTAACTCTGCTCGATACACACCAATCCTATGGTGCCGACCTGGATAACTGGGGGGGATCCCACTCTAGATTACCAACGTCTCAGTAAAATTAAGTACCTTCTGGTGGCACCTACAACCTTCCTCTCACTCTTAGAGAGAGCCTCACGTTCCTATGCGAGGTCTTTTTGTTCACAGGTGGAAAAAAAAAAAAAAAACAGAGACTAAGAGGGGTATGGGGCTTTGCAGGCTAACAAAAGAAGCCAAACGGGCCCCAATTCCAAAGGAATGGACCCGTTCATCCGTTCCAATTTGCGTGTTTTCAAAACAAAAACAAGGTTTTAATGGGCTACTGTATAAAACCTCGAACTCATGGCTATTTCTGACATTTTGAATTGAAAAAGCTTCCTGGATGGGAAGCAAAACATCTTCAAACCTGGAAACACAGTCCAGTGGATTCTTTTTAATTTTCTTTTCTTTTGGAACACATGGAGAGCAAAACAATGAAGAAAAACCAGCACTGATGGACTGCAGAGGAGGATAATATATTGGAGACAAAACCAGGAGTGGAGTAATCAGTTAATTGGGAGCAGGTGTGGACAGAAGCAGCTAGAAAGGAGCCGAGGGGGAAAGAAACTGGCACAGGGGTCAATAGAGAATAACACAAAAACACAACACTGCCAGAAAAAAAATACAAAGACACAAAATTACAGTGAAACTAAGAAGAAACCTAAAAAAGGGCAGAACCCTGACAGTTGGATGCACAACTAATATTTTATTTTGTGCAGCACTTTGGTCAGTGTTTGATTAACAAATACAATTGGATTGGACTGTGAGGGAACCATATTTTTTGTATGTCATCACTTTAGCGTACCTTTTTTCCTGCTTAACTGTGCTTTAAATTTATCCTGAACAAGTTCCTCCAAAACCTACAGTACACAGCTTTCACACAACACCTGCATTTACACTGAGATTAAGTAACATGAAGAGGTGACTTTAAGGGTTGTTAGCTGCTCTAGATTTTAGAAATAAAAATAGAAATAAAAAAAAAATCATGTATTATTTTGGTTCAGCATTAAAGCTATACAATACTTGTTTGTTGGTTTGTAAAAATAAAAACCTCACTAAAAGACGTTGAGCAGTGCTTATATAAAATAACAGTGTGCATAACGTATAATGATTTTAAGTTATCAGTGCTGGTTTATTTTATTTTAGTTAAAAAAAAGCAGGAACTAATCTTATATCCTTAAGTCAAGCCTTTAAAAAGGAACCAAGAGATATTTTCATCTTAATGAAACTGGAAAAAAAGATTTAGAGAGGGTGATGAAATGTTATTTTAAAACCTCGTCTTCAAATGTAATATATTTTCACCCCAGTAGAGCTGAATATATTAAATGCAAACATTCAAATTGTTGCTTTATTAGGTTTGATCTGTGTATGTGTTTCTTCAGGTATTACAGAGGAGAACCTGAACAAGCTGATCCAACATGCTCAGATTCCCCCTGAGGACAGTGAGATCATCACCAACATGGCTCACCTGGGGGTCCCCATCGTCACAGATGTATGCTACTTTATTTTTCCTTCTTACTTTTTTTTTTCCATGCTACTTTTCCAGATATATCTGGTATAGTTTTCTTGATTCTTTCACCTTTTTGTTTCTCAGTCCACCCTTCGCAGAGGAAAGAAGATGGACAGGAAGGAGCGTGTGAGTGAGCAGACCTATCAGCTTTCTCGCTGGACTCCCCTGATCAAGGACATCATGGAGGTACGGTACAGCTACCAGGCTTCTGCGTTCACTGTTCTTGACTTTCATCAATACGCACTTCATAGATTTTTTACATACTTTCTGAGATCCAAAAGCAGATTTAACATATTGGATTTTATTTGTAAATAATTAACTCCACCAAGGACATTATGTTTCTAGGAGAGTCTGTGGGCCTGTCCGTCTGTGTACAGGATAACTTGAAAAGTTATTAACGGATTTCAATGATACTTTTACCAAAGGTGCACCTCAGTCCAAGGAACAATCCTTTAAAATTTGGTGATGATCCAGAACACCATCTGGATCCAGGATTTTTTTTACAGTTGCTGTGAATACAGGTATTTACTTAAAGGCATAGTGGAGGATTTTCTTTTTCCTGGTGGATCATCAAAATAAGTGGTCCTCCTAATTGTCAATCATTCTGGTGATATGTTTACGTAAGGCCGTCCTACATGCTTGTCCCCATTTTCACTTACCAGTAGTGAGTCTCACATGGTGGAAAATTTGCTAATCTTTTTTTGGAAAGTAAGCTTGTATGAGCAATGCAAACAACAACATTTAAACAGAGCGTGCATGAGGAGAAAAGGGCTCGTGCACGCTCTCGGACGCATTTAATAGGCGTTCCTTCTCGGTAGTGGGTACAGGGTTGTGCATGTGCATTTTTTTTAAGTGGAGAGGGCGGGTCTTTTAAAAAAAATTCAGAAAATCCTCTACTGTACCTTTAAGGTGGAAGTCACAATATGTTTTGGAGAAATTAGCAACTTGGCAGAGGTCTGAGCTCTCCAAGTGCTTTTCTAGTTTCCTATTACTTTTATTCTCTTTATAAAGTAGCATTTTGGATGACTAGCTTTTAAAAGCAATATAATAGCAAAGTGATATTCAAATTCTAATACCTTTATGTTCCAATTAGTGCTTTAAACTTGCGTGCTTGGTTTTGGGTCTCAACGAATTCCTGTTTCATACAAACACATCACATCACATCCCTCGCAACTTTTACCTCGTAAACAAACTATTTAAAGTCAGTATTCCTAAGTCTTCCTAAGTATTCCTAAGTATATATATATATATATAAGAAATGTTAATTTAACGTACAAAACTTATATAAAAAAACCTAAAAAAAAAAAAAGAAAAATTCAGCTGTTATCCTAACAAAATTGTTATTATTCGGTTTTTTTCTAAGATTTAGAAAAAATGTTAATCGGCCATCAGCTAATTAAGCTACCTAGTTGAACCTAAACATTTTTTGCTTTGAATAGCTTTGAGCGTTTGATGCATCGTTTTTGAAATAACTGTTTTGTTGTTGTGCTTCCCTGTAGGACGCCATCGATGATAAACTGGACACTAAACACTACCCTTACATCTCCACCCGCTCCTCTGCTTCCTTCAGCACCACTGCAGTCAGGTACAGATGGAGATGCATAGACAAACATTAAGGGTTTGGATCTGATAAATGTATGCTCCTCAGAGAAGCTTTCTGATGATTGCCATGAAGGTGATCTATAAATGAGTCACTTTCTGACTTTCTGTTTAGCAGATAAAACTATAATAAACAAACAGATACGACCAATTCCTAAAAAGTGTGTTTTAAAGCGAAATATGTATATATTTTATTCTCTTGAACGCATGAATGTGACAAGCTAGCAAGAAAGAATAATTGGTCCCAAAGAAGCATTAATTATCAGACATCAATTCAGCTAGAGTAAGGAAGACTGCTCTAATCAATATGAGATTCATTGTTTTGATGCGACAGAGAATGTTAAAAAAAAAAAAATTAATTTAAAAAAAGCTTAAGAACATTTGTCAATCTTTCTATTAGGTCCTAATGATATGAAGGGCCAGAACCCCAAAGCTCTATCTCAGACTCTATGAAATATGACAGCAAAATATTTTCTACTTTCTACACAGAGCTTTAGCGGTACTAAGAATTACCGTTGACTTATTTTCTGTTTTATATGATGGGCAGAGTTCTTGGTAACAAGTTTAGAAGAAGATACAGTAGTTAAAAGGCTTTTGATTGGTGGTCACACAGCAACAAAAAGGATTGTGTTAATATTTAAAGGGTGAATACTGTTTTTTTTTATTGTGGCAGTGCTCGATACGGACACTGGCACAAGAACAAGACACCTGGAGAGTACCGCACTGGTCCGCGAGTTATGGTCTTCATCATTGGAGGCGTGTCTTTCAGCGAGATGCGTTGTGCCTATGAGGTCACACAGGCCAACGGGAAGTGGGAAGCTGTCATTGGTGAGTAGAGCAACATTGGATCTTTGCTCGAGCTCGAACAAATATCACACTCAGCTTTAAAAAAAACAGAGTCACTGTGTTTCTGAGAGGTTATGTTTTGGCAGAGAAGTCTTAAAACTAAGTAATTAAAAAAAATACTTTAAAAAAGATCCTGTGAGGTACAAAGAAATAAGAATCTGGCCTACAGGTTTTCTGAGACATGAACCAGAAGAAAGCTTAAATTGGGCAAAGCCAGTCACATCATGTTAGAGTGAGCTTCATTGAAATGAAAGCTAGATATATGTATTTTAGAAATATAAGCAATATTATTTTCTTTTTCCCTCTATGAAAACAAAATTAAAATACATTTTTTGGGTAATTGTGTGACGGTGTCCTCTATCTGAAATCATAAGTTAGAATTGCTCAGTAGGAGCAATAATCAGCAACAACTTATTGACCCCACATGCAAGCGATGATGGTAGTTTCAGTTATAAACCAGGGTTTATATTTGTTTGTTGATGTTTCAGTTAATCTGTGTCTTAAGCTGGTTAAGATGGCAAGATTTTAAAATTGTCTGGTGTTTTTTAAAACTTAGAATAGACCATGAACATGATAGTAAAATAAATAGGGGATAGAACGGTTTTCGTTTACTGTCAGCGTGTTCTCTCCAGCAACAAAACGATCACATCAGACTGCATACAAGTCAATTTCATGTAGCTGTCAGGCGGGATATCTGACCACACCTCTACAGATACATATGTTCATGCAGGGTTCCTACAGCATAAGGCAAGTTAAATTCAAGACTTTTTAAGACTTTTTAACTTGAATTAAAATTTAAGACCAAATTCACAAGAAACACAAGAAAAATCCGCTTGCGACAACTTAACCCAAAGGTTTATTTGAACATAAACCACTGCACTAATGTTTCAAATTTTGAAAAGCTTCCCATACATGAAGAAAGCTAAAAACAAACAAATGACAGATATATTTTAACAATTATTTAACTGAATTCACAAACTTTGTTTTAGCAGGGAACAAAACAAATCAGTTTTAAAGCCACAACATAACCAGTGCTAAGTCTTTTTTGCAGCTATTTTTCTTTGTCTTGTTTTCTTAGTATGTTTGATTTGGTGATAAGTGGAGGCGTTGCAGAGACAAGAGACGTCGATTTTGACGCTTTGTTTTTGGCGCTTCGCATGTGTGACTCCACTGCCTTAATTCCCATCCTTCCGAGCTTGAATGACTTCTTGCACAAAATCCACTGAGCCTCATGTATGTTCCCTGGTTTTAGCCATGGAGAAAACTCTTGGCTGGAGCCAATTTTCGTTACATTTCCACTTGCTCATATTTTCCTGACAAAAAGTAAATGGCGCATCTCCCAAATGTCCCGGCCGCAACAACGCTCTTATTGGTTCCGCTATCGGGACGAAACCAATAATGGCGAGCCGTTTTTTTTTTTTTTATAAAAAAAAAAAGGTCAATTTTAACGTTGGATTTAGATTACAAAACTAAATCATAATAAAAATAATCCAATTTATGATGCTTTAAAAATTAAGACCTACGAAAGACAGATTTAATACATTTTAATACCAATTAAGGCCTTAGTTATATTTTGAAGAATTCAATGCCTTTTAAGACTTTTTAAAGACCCGCGGGAACCCTGTCATGAATATGATTTCAAGTTTGTACAGTTCAGGGAAGAAATCAGTACGATTATCTTGCCTTGTGAATCCCCCACACCATAGATAATGCTGCACAGGAACTTTTAAAAAATGTTTTGTGTTTCTACAAAGATGCATTATAGTTATTTAAGTTTTTATTATTTGCCAATTTATAGCCGGTGAAGCTCTCATTTAGACATGTAGCTCTAATTAACATCTATACTATACATATATATAAAATCTATCAAAGAACAAATTAATTGACTTAATTGAAATATTCTAATGTAACCAGGAAATTAGATCGATATCTGGCTAAACATAGATCGGGTTATTTTCTTTTTTTTAACATTATATTAAAGCTTTTTAATTTAGATTACCACAAAATAACAGCTGATACACTTTCCAGCAATCCCTCATCCTCAGCAGATAGAGGGATTGCTGCAACAATGGTGACAGTATGGCAAATACCGACAAAGTATTGTTGTTAAACAGTACTTTATTGGACAATACAGTCTGTCTGTATGATTTAGGTGCTAAACACAGTGATTTTAGGTTTCCTTTTTTCTTTGCATGAAAGCAAAGAAACAGTCCTTATTTTTCTTAACTTTTCCATGAAAAATAAATTCCGAAATTCTTTCCTGTTAGTCTGTATATAATAACTGCTGTGACAGAGTTTATGTCAAAGACTTGACATGAAGAGGTGCTCCCATTCAGTTAAGTAAAAAGTGACAATGTTATAAAAAATATTTATGTGGCAGACTCCTTGGTTTGTATTTAAAAAAGTTTGAGGGTGTCTTGCAAAATTATTTATAATCTCTGAATCTTTTCTCACATTACAACCACATATTTCAACTGATTTTAATAGGACTTATTTCAACAGAGCAACACAAAGTTATTAAGTAGTAGAAAATCTACATATTTAGTCTGATTCTACTAAATAGTAAAAGTTACTCACTATAAAAACGTTTCTCACTATAAATACAGCTTTTCTTAAAGGTTTTTTTTTTTTTTTTTTTTTTAAGAGAACATTAGATAGCCAGCATCTTAAGAGAGGTCATGGAGAAAGATGAGGAGACATGAGAAGGGAGTGGAGGTTCACTATCTTGCAGGACAAAATACAGCGGAGGTTTTTGTGTTCTTTAGCCCTAAATATATTAAAGTATCTGTATCAGATTTTAACATCAAGACAGGCACCCTCTAATGTAGCTCAACTATTTTATTTGGTTTGTCTCGTTATGTGCAAAATTGCAAGACTACTCAAAAGGTTTAGTTAGGACAATCGATGTTACGCTTTCAATATTTGTTAAAATCTTGTGTAAATTCCCTTTTACTTTTACATAATGAGCAGCTTTGTGTTAGTCTATCTGAAATATTGTCAATACTTTGGAGTCTGTGGTTGTGACGGTGCAAAATGGGGAAAGCTCAAGACGTATGAATATTTCTGCAAGGTACTGTACTGTGTTCCATACAAAATGGTCCTTTATGTCCTAAAGCTTTACGTTCCAGTGTTTTATTGTTTCCTGTTGCTCTGCTTTAGCTGTTGTCTTTCAAACAATGTTCTGTTTAAATTGCAGCCAAGCCTTGTCTTCTTCTCTCTTACTTTTTTGGCGTGTTTGTCCCGCATTGTGAGTGCATATCTGTCGTTGGATGAGTGTGTCTTTGTGTGTTTGCTCGTTACCACCCTTGTCTTGTTTTTTTTTTGAAAGAGTGAGGTAGGTTGGGGGTCTGGGAGGGGCGTGGCACGTGCTGTGAGACGAGTGGTGAAGCCGCCTCTGTTCCTTCACAGGTTCCACCCACTTGCTCACCCCAACCAAATTCTTATCGGACCTGCAGCACCCCGACTTCCGAGAGTCCACTAGGGTGTCCTTTGAGGACGCACAGCCCTCAGACGAGTGAGGCAGAGACAGATTGGGAGGGAGGGAGACAGAAATCACACAGAACAAAGTAAAGGCAGCCGCTCAGAGAAGCCCTTTCTGAATACTTACAGCACAAAGGGCTTCCTTTTGGTTCCTCCCTCTTCTTTAAACACTCAGAACTGTTTTATGTTTCCTCACCCTCCTCTTCCTCCTCCTCCCTGTGTCCCACTGGGATGGTCATTCCTGATCACTCCTCATTGCATGGTCTGCTCCCACAGAATCTTCTCCCTGTATTACAACCACTAAAAATCCTTCAAAAGATCCATATATTTAGTTTAAATTACCAACTCTCGAAGATAGCAGTGAGGGAATCAAATTGTGAACAATCACTGGAAGCAAAGTGGAAGCTTTAGAAAAATAGTTCAAACTTTTTTTTTTTTAGGGATCTCCAGATATATTTGATAAAAGTTTGCCACATTAGCAGAACTCATACATTTGTGGTAATCTTTGCCAATCAGCAGCCATGCTCTGAGGATGTCGTGGCTCCATCCCTGCTGCCTTCTCTCCTCATCTCAAATGGGTGGATTAAATCACTCTGATTTATGACGGCCACCCATAAGTCCTTTCAGACCGTCTCTCACTCATTCACGTTTTAATCTACTCAAACATCTTCACTGCAGAGTTCTGACAGTCACAGGTTTTTTTAAGGGAAGATACTTGATTTTTTTAAATAAAGAAAAGTGTTTTTATTTTTATTCCTGTGTAAAAACAGCGTCCTCTCAGCTCACCATCACATGCTCATAACGTTTCTACAGATGAGCTTAACTTAAGAAAAGAAAAAACAGACTTCACTGTAATCTTCTAAAATGATCTTGATCAATAGATGTTGCCTTTTGAATGGCTGCTCTAATATTTAATTGACTCATAAATTGTTCAAAGAGAAAACTGAGCAAAGAGAACTTTCTATGGTTAAGAAAAGCAGAGTGCAATTTTTTTTCATTAGTTGTTCCTAAAACAGCTCTATGCTGGAAAGAAAGGGCTAAACAAAGAAACACTGAACAAAACTAGTTTTCAGTGCAAAGGAAAACAAAAACTACACTTTGATCAGGTGTTGCCTTCAGTGGTTTTACTGGGAAAAACAAAACTCCTAAGCATGAAAGAACTAAAACAAGATTACTTTCCAAATTCAAAGGGTACATGTTAGCGGTTGGAGCAGAGAAGCACTGAGCCAGGTGTACTTTTAAGTATTACATATAGTAAAAAACAGTGATATCATCCACAGTAGCTAATTCCATGATTTCTGTACAGCTATCAAAGAATAATTGGGCCAGGTAAAGCATAAATAAGGATCGCGGAGGTGGCTTAACTAAGTGAATTCCAAAAAAGTAAAAAAAAAAAACAAAAACAAAAAAACACTGGACTTTGTTTCAAGTTTGGAGACGTTTTGCTTCCCATCTTGGAAGCTTTCTCAATTCACAATGTCTGGAGTAGCATTTGAGTTCCAGACTTATAGAGAGGCCTAAACAAAAGCCTTGTTATGGTTTAGGGAACATACAAATTAAAACGAAAAAACAGCTCCACCCCTCGGTAATGGAGAATCATTGAGGTCGTTGTTAGCCTGGAATACCCGATACTGGTCCATGCCTTTGAAAGGGGAGGGTCATTGTTGGCCTGGCTGACCAGGCCAACAATGTTTTGGTCCCCTGCATAGTGATGCGGGTTGAGCTGATAGCGAGAAGGAATCAACTCTATCGCTGTGTTATAGGTTTTTGGGAGCTAGAACCTGAGACCACCCTCTCTGTTTAAGGTTGGTTTTGCTCTCTTAACGTAAAAGGCCTCCTTCCCGCTATGATCTACACCCCCATCTCACCTGGTCAGCCAGGTCAACAATGACCCTAATAACTCCCCTTTTCAGAGGCATGGGCCAGTAACGGGTTTAGCAGGCCAACAACGACTCCCCATTACCAAGGGGTGGACCCATTTTTTCAGTTCAGTTGGCATGTTTTCTAAGCCAGCGGTCCCCAACCTTTTTTGCACCACGGACCGCTATATGTCAGACGATATTTTCACGGACCGGCCGAGGGGGTGGGGGGGGTAAATACGATCAAGTAAAATGATACGACTGGCATAAAATCAAATACAAACAGCATAAAAATAAAACAACAAACCGGTACCATCTAGGCGTAATCGGAGACAATGACACACAAAGTGTGCTCCTGATGTCCAGTCTGCTCCGTAGCTTTGTTTTGGTCGCTGTAACTGCAGAAAATCCCGCTTCACAAAGACAGGATGTTATAGATAGGATGAGTCTTGACCTGAATTAACCTGTGTCAAGAGGCACAGATGCACCGACTGATGTAATTGGGAGAGAATACCGCAATTTTTTTATATTTTTCAAAATAAAACATCACTCAGACTCTGATCGTCAATAAATTACATCTATATATATACTTTTTTCTGTGCGGCCCGGTACCAAATGACTAACGGACCGGTACTGGTCCACGGCCCGGTGGTTGGGGACCGCTGTTCTAAGCCATAACAAGGATTTTGTTTGGGTCACTCTATAAACCTGGAACTCAAACGCTACTCCAGACATTTTGAATTGAGAAAGCTTCCTGGATGCGAAGTGAAACGTCTTCAGACTTGGAAAATAAAGTCCAGTAGTTTGTTTTTTTTTTTATTTTTTGGAATGACTATGACCTGGAATCTGAATCATCATGAGCATTCACTGAGGCAAAAAGTGCGGCTATACACAGGGCGGCTGAAATGGGGATATTTTCTATAGGAAATAAGATTGCCTGATGGCAGTATCATTGACAGGTCTCACAAAGGCTTCATCTACGAAGTAAACGCAGCTAAAACAACAAATATAGACATAGCTGAACACAGAGGCAGGAGACAATTTCAAAGTAAAACCGCAGTAAAAAATAAGATCCAATGACCATGGAAAAGATTGCAATAACAAATTACAAGAAAGTCTGTTTCTCTTAAAGGAAAACAAAAGTGGGTTTAACTGAAATGCTTTCTGCAGGACTACACATAAACACACTTAAAGTCTAAAGGTAGTACATTGCAACCTAAGAGCATTTATCTCATGTATGACTAACCTGTTAAACAGTAAGGTACAGAAATTAGAAATCATCTTTCACAGCAAGCTGTATGGTCTGCTCCTCTGCATACTGCTGCATTCCCGAGCAAAAAGACCATCGCTAACTAAAACTGATTACCGTTTAAGCTTTGTTGTTTTGGTTTTCTACACATTTAGTGAACTTGTGTAGTTGGAAATCAAAGTCCGAGCTGTGTTTCTGGGGCAGGAACAAAGGCCCACAAAGCTGTTTGTTTTTATGAGCCTGTCCACTAATGTGCGTTCCTCAATCCAGATATTTTAACTTGACAGGGGTTTCTGTCTTTCACTTCTAAATGATGCTCCAAATTCTTTGAGGTGAAGAAAATAAACTCATGTAATAATAAAAACACACAGCTTTGCCAAAGAAACAAGCCTTTGTAAGTCCAACTCCGTTAATAAGTTTGAACAGGTGTGGGGAGTAAATCAAAGTGTCTGCTTGTCTCTTTTATCATCAGTTTAGGCTGATTCTAAATCTTGTAAGGTGGTGGAGCACAAACCGTTTGCTTTACTCCTGTAAACACCTTTCAAGTTGTACAATGTCTGAAATGTGTCTTCAGCTTCACGACTGCTCATCTCCGTCTCATTAGGGTCACTGAGCTTCAAGTTTCCTCTTAAATTTGGGATTTCATGTCTACCTATTCTTTATCAGTAGTATTTTTCTAAACCTTTTTTCTATTTAGTCAGTGTCCCGTTTACCCCACAAACGCCCGTAGAGTCTTACAAACTGTTTGACATGTTTGGTAGTTGATGTTTTGTTAGTTCAACTTTGCTTTTAGTCACCATGATACCTGCCCTATAATCTGTAATCCTATTCAGTAAAAAGTTAATTCTGGAATTTCAATGTACAAATTATGTATAGATTACACACAAAGGGATAAATCCTGTTTATTTTTTGGGCTATTTGGATAACATCTATTAGAGAGTCAAGATTAAGCTTCACAGAAAACGTTTTTTTATCGCATCAAAATATTTTATCATTTTTTATATCTTAGATTATATGTGGTTTGGCACAAACTAATCAAAACAACAATAAAAATTGTTAAAAGTTGGCTGACAAATGCTGTATCCAGGCATTTTAATGGAAAGTTTAATGGAATGAAGAGGTGTGGTAGTAGAAGATGAACAGGCAACAGTTTGCAATTGACCTGCAGAAAGCCTTTATAATTTCTTTTTGTAGCAGGACTTGGCATCTGCCTACATTTGCAGATGTGTCAACAAATGGGTGGATATAGACGATATAGCGTAGCTTAACTGGCAGCAAACCTGGTGTTCTCTCAGAAGAACCATTAAAGGCATCAGAACAAATCATGTACAAAAGCTGAAAGTCACTCTTATAGAAACCAGACTGATCACCTTAAAGTATTCTATATAGTGTAAAAAAAAAAAGCAAATTGATCTTACTTTATATTGAGATTTTCTGAGAAATTGAATTTTTGGTTTTCATTAATAGAAATGCATAATCTGCAAAATGAGCAGAACCAAAAACAGGAAGTTTATCTTCGTGCTTAACTGACCCACATACAAGTTTCAGGTTTTGAACTGAATCAATTATATCAAATCAATTAGGGCTGCAACTAACGATTATTTTGAAAATCGATGAATCGGCCGATTATTTTTTCGATTAATCGATGAATCGGACACAAAATATTTTTTTTATATTAACCTCTTTATTCCAAAATAAACATTTTAGACAGAACAAACAAGCACACCAGTACAGGTTTCTCATTAACTGTACTGGTGCAATATGAAAAATAAATGTTTGTGTTAAAACTACGCAAACTTACATGAGAAATGTAGCTGTACATCCACAAAATATAGGGTACTTTGTTTCATAAAGCGCAAAAAGAGACAGGCATTTTAGTTTTTAAAGCCTCTAAGGGGTTCAAACAATAGGTCCCCCCATTTCAACAAATGAGTTTTTTTAGACTAGAAGAGTTCTGCCTTTTAAGACAGGAAAGTAAAGTTGCTACTTGAGAAAATACTGAACCATAGAGATAAAAAATAGCCCTGTGATTCAAATTATAAATTGTATTTGGAATAAAAATGAGAGAACTAGGGGTGCTAAAAACACATCCTCCAATGACAGATATTTACATGGGAATGTGGCAGATAATTAATTGACATATTACTGATCTTGCTGGATTTTATTCTGCTTTACTTCCATAAATTGCAGGATCTTCTTTACTTTATCTTTGCCAGAAGATTTAAACCTTAAAAGCCTTGCCCTCATAATTTGCAAATTAATTTATTTATAAAGAAAATATAAACGCTGCTTAAGCTAATTCAAATGAAATTAAAAGTAAAATAAGTAGCCAACCTTATCACTGTCTGTAACCTACTAACACGGTAAGGAAAGCATCAGATGAGCTACCTGAGAAACTAACGTTACGTTTCCCCACTTTAAAATGAAGCAAACATGATGGTTCATCCTGCTGATCAGCTCTCTTCACTGCCATTGAGGGCTCCAACGTGTTTTCTTTTCAGGTGCTGCGTCATAACAGTGGTGCTTCCGTGCCATGTTAATTTGTTTTTACAAAAGTTGCATGTTACGACTTTTTTCACTTTACAAAGCGCAGGCTATTTTAATTATTGTGATCAATTTGCGCCGTCAATCCCGGGGCATGCGCGCTTCATTTGCAGTCTGGACGCTGAGGGTAAACTCCTCACTAAAATCCTGCGGCTCTGACTGCCACGCTGAGAGGGACTCCTGTGGGAGAGGGAGAAAGGCGTTGGGATGGGGGAGGCGCCCCACGGCAGCAGCTGCCGCTGGAGGACAAGAGTAGGAACGATACATGCTTTCACGTAAGAGCCTCCAAAAGCCGCCAGTGACACCGTAAAAAGTCGCCAGATATGTCGCTAGTCGCTTTTTAAAAAAATAGTCGCTGGAGGGGTCTGAAAAGTCGCTGAGCAACTGCGGCGCTGACTCGCTCCGCCATATTTTTTTTTTCTTCCCCGGGATGACGGCGGCGGCGGATGACGCATTAATCGCGCGACACAACTAATCGATGATTAAATTCGTTGCCAACGCTTTTAAAAGTCGATTTTATCGATTCGTTGTTGCAGCCCTAAACTCAATCAATGTTATTTACTTTGGAAGATGAAATTTGACAAACAAAATCTAACTTGGTATGTACAGGAATAAAGCCGTGAGGTGTTCCTGTCTTTCTGGTAGAGACAGCTTGTGGTAATTTCCTGCTTGCTCATGCGTTTTGTACTGTGACCTTCGGTCTCGGCCGCATGTGCATGCTATTGCATTTAAGTCCCAGCAATGCTGCTGAATAACTTTCAGGCTTTGGTTAAAATAAACACAAAGATATTTCATTGGAAGTCCTAGATCTCCAGAATTGATTCTTTAAAACCAAGTTTATGGGCAAACAGGTAAAGAATTGTTAAACATTTATGCTCCATTTGACTTTGGCAGCAGCTTTTTAAAATGAAGGAATGCAAATCTAAAGCTCAGGATGAAATACCTCTCACCTACACTCCTTGAAACATGATTCATTATTAACCTTATGACTAACTGATGATTTCATAACTTCGGGCTTTCATCTTTTCTTTCAATGTTATGCAAGGCTGCCGTCATCTGCTGCAGGCATTCATAACAAAAGCTGAAAACACATTCATTTGAAGTCTGTATTAAAACCAATGTACAGCTCTGATGCTCTTCTTGTATGTCATCTCCAGGATCGACCCACATCTTCACTCCCACCTGCCTGCTGGAGCAGCTCAAGGCCATGAACAAACCAGACGAGGAAGTGACGAGCTAAAGTCCTTCAGTCAAATTCTGCTCTTCATACCTTCATCCCTCTTAACCCCGTCCCTGCCCTGTTACCTCCACATCTTCCCCAGCCAAATCCTATCCATCAACTCTGTATGCATATTGCTTGAGAAAAAAAAAGACATCTTAGATGATAAAAAAAAAAGCTATATCAAAGAATTAAACTGTTGCAAGTATTCTTGTGTTTTACAATGGATGCAACTATCAAAATTTATTTAAAAAGATAAATATGAGAAGGCCACATAAAATGCAAAGCACCAAAATGACATTGTATGCTATGATTATAAACCCTGCTAGAATGTGTAAACAATATTTTTTCCTTTGTTCCTTTGGCTTACCTCCTAGGTGTGAGTTTTATTGTTGGGCAGATCGTAGGGGGATGTGCACTTTGAAAGATTCATTTTATAAAATATATATCATGCAATATATGTATACATATTTCACAGAGAGGAGCACTATCCGCCCGTATGAGATGTTTGTATTCAGTAGCATGCTTGGACTTGTGAGGACTGTTCTGTGTTTGTGTAAAATCCGGGTGGTTTGAGTGCAGAAGATTTATTTAGCTTATTGTCTTGAGGTTGAATACCACACCAAAAACTTTTACTTTGAGTATCAAACATTTTCAAACATGCTTGGTAACTAAATTATGTACAAACTTTCCTCCCTTTTTAAACTTATCTCCTAACTGAATGCATTATTTTCTATCAGGTTTAGCGTATCTGCTGACGTACTGATAGTTTCATAAGCCTATAAGCCAAGGGAAACCATTCTTCAGGAGATACTGTTTAAAAAAGGAAATTATTGTTTTGAAAACATATTCAAATTTAAATCATCTGTTTTTATTTTGACATCCTAGATACATTAGTAGGTGATCACTGTGCTTTTTAAAATTAGCTTCTTTGCCAATAAGTGTTAGCAAAAAATGCTGATTTAAAAAAAAAAATCGAAAGCTTACTGCAAAATGTTTTTTTTTTTCTTTTTTTTAAACTTAGCATTAATCCAGCAAAAATGTTTGTCAATCACATTTTCCACTTTTAGCTTTTACAACAAATATTGTTGGTGCAGAACTCTAACAGGCTCTTATCTAATAATGCTAATAAGCCTAACGTTTTTATTGCAGTTTATAAATACATTTAACATTTTATTGTTACCATCAAACAACTTAAATAAGAGCACCTAAAACACCGCCATTTAAACCAAAATTTAAACCTATAAGTTATAATCCAACCTTTTGCTAGCTAGCTAGCTGACATGGAAAACATTGCAGTTGACTACAGGCAAACCAAGCAGGCTAAGCTAACCCGTTTAAAAGCACATATTTTTAAATTCTTATTAAATAATTCCAGGTAACACCATAAATATGTTATGAAAATTTTCCAAAGTAACATTTTAGTGGTTTAAATCATTTCCTTTAATTTCCTTTTTAGCTCATTTGCCATTTTATGTTAATCCAACGACCCGAGCCGTTTTCCAAAACATTTCTGTCGTTAAAAGGTTAAGCACATAACAGGCACAAATAAGGAGGACAGTGTTAAAGGTATTTCAGATATATTTTTTCCTAGTTTGGTTCTGCTGAGTGTTTGATACACAAACAAGTTCTTGGTTTATGTATTCACCAAATAAGCTTGATAAGAAAGACGAGGAGAAAAACAAGAATTACATTTAAGCTAAAACCATCCCTCCTCCGACTGCCTTTCCTGTAGCGTCCTGCACTCTTTTTTTTTCCACTCTGAAACGACTTGTTGTTAAAAAGGCTGTTGCTTGCTGATATCTAATGAGTAATCCTAAAAAAAGGCCCAGTTTTGTTTCAGTATTGTAATTGTCAGACTAAGGTCTTTTCATTAGTAATAATGTCACTGGGCCATGCACTGAGTAGTGTTGTGTATCTGCCATATGTTGCTGTTTAAGCGTCTTACTGTTGAATGGTGATTTATTTTACAACAGTGCAGTAGTGAAACCTTTTCTTTAATTTGCTAATGTGAAGCCACTGTTAGTGATGTTTTAGCTCTAGATGTTAGAGGTAAACTAGGTAAAATATTATACTTTGTCAGTTTTTTTTTCCTCTGGTGCAATGTAAACCCCTTCCCTAAAGTTGAATGGCTTTGCAAAGATAAAAAAAAACTAAAACTATGTGATACTGCGTCTCTCCCATAGCCTCTTTCCAGGCAAAACAAGTTGTATATTGCACTAGAATGACTTTTCTGTGATGCAAATACTTTTAATCATCATTCACTGTTGTATAAGCTTTATTTTGCCCAATTTCCTTATTTATTTAAAAGTTATTTATAAAGAAAAAAAAAAGAATAGTCAGTCTTAAAAGTGTCTCACTTATTGAGATTGTATGTTTGCGAGTGTGTAAGCACAAACAGTACTTCCATGTGTACCCATTCTGTACTAAGGCTGTCTAATAAATTGGCTTCCATTGCATATTACATTCTTTCAATTGTTAGTTTATAAAATAAAAACAGTATTATGCTTACAGGTTTGACTGAAAAGAAGAAAATGCGAAGAAAAACTTAAGTGAGGCTGCTTCCTGGAAAATTCTCGACAGCCAAAAATATTTTCTTGCAAAGACCAAAACTGTTAAAGATCAACTGTTAACCTTATCAAACATAGATTTACATAGAAAAATGACATTTAATTCTGCTTTAAATCAGAATCACACCACCATTGGACTTTTAACGTTGCATCATTTTACAACCAAACATTTAACTGCATTTTCTCTTGATTTTTAGTAGAAATTATCATAACTTGGGGTAAAGTATACAAAAATTTAGATTATTCTTTCATTTTAAAAGCATGCACATTTTTGCAATCTATAAAAATTGGAAAGTGTATCAGACATCTACAAACCAACCAAGACTGTCCACCTGAACCGACAGGACGGGGAAGGAGAGCAGCCAAAAGGCCCAGGGTAACTCTGGAGGAACTGCAGAGCTCAACAGCTCGGGTAATATAATCTTGACTGAACAACTGCTAGTTTTGTACTCTACCAATCCGACATTTAGGATTAGCCTGAAGATGGACGCTGATTGCCAGAAGAAATCCTGCTTTAGATTGATCAAAAACCATGTTTTTAGTCTCAGATGAAACTAAAAATTTAACTTTTTGGGGTACATGCAAAACACAAAACTCCTTATCTTCATCGTCTTCATGCTGAAACATGGTGGCAGCATAATTCCAGGGTGGGCTTTTTTTCTGCAGAGCCAAGCAAGCTGGTAAAAAAATGTAGATTGGAGGAGATAAATATTCACCAATGTTAGAAGAAAACCTGTTTAAGGCAAAAGACTTGAGGGTGAGGGTGTCGGTTCAGCTTCTAGCAGGACGGTTTCCCTAAACATATAACCTAAGCTACAAGATGGTTTAGGTAAAAAAAAAAAAAAAAGGCATCATCAGTCTAAACCTAAATCCAAAAAAGAATCTGTTAGAAGAATTGAATTGATGATTAAATCATCTTCATCTAATTTACTGAGCCCGACACTTTTTCCCAAAACAGAATAATCCTTTTTCACTTTAAACTCTTAACATACACCCACACACACAAAAAAAAAACTGTTCTAGACAAAAATGAAAACTACTGAAATGCCCCATTATATACACAGAAAGTTGAGTTAGTACAGTTTGTCTAGTTTAGCTTTTTGTTTTGACTTAACTCAAAGAACCATTTAAACTGGCTCAGCCAGCGTCATCATCTGCTGGTCGGTGTAGATGTGGACAAGTCGTCAGTCAATATGTCCAAGAAATAATGGTCACATAACCTTGATAACATGAATTAATGTTGCTCTGGTATTCTGTAATAAGATGGATCTCTGCAGGCAGTGTGTAAATAAGATACAGAATCAGGCTGTGTTAAAAACATTTTTTATACATTATGTGTGAAGTTAGTTTCAGATTTCTACAAGAAAGAGCTAATAAATATATAAAAGCACAAACAGGATTTATAAAAACTAGGATTTTTTCTTTATATTCTATAAATAAATTAAAATAGTATCTACATTACTTCATTATTAGAAAACAAGTCATTTTAGTGTATGGCAGCAAATCGTCTAATGTAAACATGAAATAAATTCCCTTTCAGGAGCAGAAAAAACTACTTCAAAACATCAACAGAAAAGTTTTTCCTGAGTATGAATCAGTGTAACATTATAAACTGCAAGATTTATTTTCACTGCGGTCGAGTTGCTGTCCTGCCTCACCCAGAACTAACCTGAACTACTGGGTTTACTCTTCTCTGGTGTCTGGAGTCTAATGGCTGCAGGACTGAGTGAGCAGCTTATGGTACTGCAGACCTGAAGCCAGAGAGAAAGCCATGTGTCTGGATGTCTGTTTCATGTTCTGAGCTGCTCTGATGGCTCTGTCCAGAGAGCCATCCACTGAACGGTGACCGTCAGAGTGGGAACGTCTTCTCGGCCCAGTCTTCTCTTTGGAGCGTCTCATCAGTCCTGAGTCCATGAAGTCAGACGTATACACAGGAGTGGGGCACAATCTATAAAATGGAAACATGTACATCTTGGTAAAAATAAAGAAATAAAATAATACTATAACTTTAGGACTTTTTACATCTGAGGATCACATTCTATTGGGTGCCATTTGTAAAGTTACGTAGTAAAAAATTAGGAGCAATATGGTTATTTAGTGTGTTTTAAGAGAAACATAGGGGGGTCATTTTCTTCTAATCTTTTTTTCCATCCTTCATGATAAAGTTTATAGTTAGAGTGGCTCAGGTTATCCTGAGCTATCACTATAGTTATGCTGCTATAGGCTTAGACTCCAGGAGGACATAGGGACCCCTATTTGATCATTCTGTTTCATTCTCTCTCTATTCTCCCGCTGTGCAGAATCTGTTAGTTCAATCTCTAACGTTCTGCTCTCTCTGCTTTTTCTCATAGTAGCTTTGCCTCATTTGTTCCTGTTTGGCTGTGACTCCATCCTGGAGAGAAATATCAGCTGTGCTGCTTCCATCAACACCTTTGTTTATAGATGTTGGAGATCGGCCTGTTTTCCAGTGTAGTCCTGTTTCTCTGACTGTGACTGCCCGGATGTGCTCTCTTCATCCTCTGACATGTGAGCTGGCTCGGTGCTCGTCTGCCTGTCTGTGTGTTTCCTGGACGGGGCCGCCTTTTACAGCTGCCTTTTGTGTCTCTGCTTCTGTCTCCTTGAACCCCAGTCGGCCTCGGCAGATGGCCGCTCACACTGAGCCTGGTTCTGCTAGAGGTTTCTTCCTGTTAAAAGGGAGTTTTTCCTCTCCACTGTCGCTACAAGAATGCTTAGTGTGAGGGATTGCATTCGAGTCAGTGAGTCGATGCAATCAACTGGTTTTCCTTAGATAGAAAACTTTAAATCAATTTGACTGTATGATCTGGTGAACTGTAAAGTTCCTTGAGATGACGTGCTGTGAATTGGCGCTATAGAAATAAACTGAATTGAAATTCATTCATTTATAAAAATCTTACTTTGTTAAATTAATATTTAGTTTGCAAATTAAAAATGTAGTTTCCTAAATATTTAGCTCCATACTACATATTAAGTTTTCAAATCAAATATTTAGTTTGATAAATCTTAAGCTCTAAACAAAAAATTTAGTTTGTTAAATAAATATTTAGCTCCAAATAAATATCTAGCTAACTTGGAGCTAGCTAAAAATTTAGCTTGCACCAAGCTAGCTAAATATTTATCTAGCTCATAGATAGCTGAATATTTAGTTTGTTAAATAAATATCTAATTTGGAGCTAAATATTCTTTTAACAAAGTAAGATTTTTATAATTGAATGAATTACAGGGGGAAAAAATGACTTGGGGAAAAAAAATAAGCCCTTTATTCTTCTTTTAAAACATGCTAAATAACCATAAATCCTAATTTTCTTTACTGCCTAACTTTACAATCGGAGCCCCATACATAATCACCCACTCCCCGTAAATGATCAAAAAGTGAATTTATTTAATTAATTATAGCAGCTTAGCATTTTAAAATAGTTTTATATCTTATAATTAAAAACCCAAATTATGTTTCACTGAAAATGTTGATTTTACAATATACCAACAAAAAAAGATTTTAAATACATGCCTGCTTGTTGACGTACCATACTGTAAATGCAGTCCCTACTTGGCTGGGGGTTCTTTCCTATCAGTGCAGCCTGGTATAGCTTGGTATATCAACCTTTGACTCTGCTGCAATGTTCCAGAAAGTCATGGCTGCAGAAATATTGATTTCAGAAGTAGCTCACAATAAATGTAACAGTTTCAGTCCAAGTCCTGGATATTGTGTGCAACAGAAATCTGCGTCTTCCAGAAGATCAAGAACTAGTGGCCAGGTTCTCCATAGCAGGACTAGTTTCAAAATAACATTTTTATAGTGGAAATCATAGTTAAATTAGTCAAGTGTAATACCACCTTTTCTAAACTGAATTAGTGATGCTCTACAGACCATCTGCTAAACCAACCAGAAGGCCATCTCTCTAGTATAAGGAAAGAAAAAGATAAAGGATATTTTTGGTACCTTGGTCTTTCAAAATAAAAGTTAAGACAAAAATAAATAAGGTCCTCTAATGTGAGAATAGATTAAATGTTAACCACATACCTGTTGTGACGGTTAGAGCCATTAAGTGTTTAGTTCACACCTGCTGGCACATTGAAACTTTATTTTTTTCAGGTGCTGGAAAGCTGCAAATTGGGACCTTTTTGGCTTCCTGTATTTCTACCACTCGCTTTACTTTAACACCACAGGTCACTGGGAGCCCAAAATATTTTATAAGTGGTGGCAAAATCAGAAAAACATTTGGAATACGGCCGAAATTATCTTTGAATCTATACTCTGCTTTATTTTGATATGGATTCATTTTATGTTTGTAATGATAGAGGCCAGGGTTTCCGCTACATGTAATTAGTTGTGGCACACCACCAGAGCAAAATAAAAGCTGCGAAACGTTTAGGAAAAAATTTAAAAGGAGGAGTTTAACATTTACTTTAATATCATGAAATGTTCAAATTTAAACTTTTTTAAAAAACAAAAATCCATTGTGCTGTGAGGCTGGTTTATACTGTAGATGAATCTGACTGGTGGCTGCAGCCTGCTGGAGAGAACAGACCAGAGCTGCTTACTTAGTGACTTTGCACCTACATTAGGGAACTTTGTACACCCCTCTGGCACAACCTTTTTTTTTTTTTTCGTTTTTTTAAGCGACTAGACACCAATCTACTTACCATTTTCTCAATTTTCGGTGAGTTTAGTGACTTCATGTGAAGGCAGTAATGATCTACTGTCATTGTCTCATGACAGCGCGACAGCTGCTGTGTCTCCCTGATACCCTAAGCGTCGTCTCACAGGCAGCTGAATTGTCCTGAAATGTGGACATTTTCTAGTACATTTCTAAAGAATAGCTTTGTTTCCTGTAGGTGTTTAGGATAAATTTGTAGTTTATCATTTTGTTTAGTTTATTCTTTTATTTAGTGAGTCAAATGAATGCAGCAAGGAGAGCAAAAGATAGGAAATTCTGTAAACATGCATTGTTTTTATTCTTTCTTGCCTGCAAGCTTGGAAAAATTCACCATTGAATTGGAATTTTAGACGTCTTTTAGGGACCACAAACCAGCTGCACTAAGTGATTACTTGAGTCACAGTCAAGTTCAGTTTGATCACTTAAGCTTTGGTTTTTAATTTACAAATAGTCACTACACATCATTTTTCATCAAGTTTTTTTCCCCCTATGAATCTGTTGCACTAAATGAATGAACTTATTACGACACAGCTTGTATCCCTTTTAAGGTAACGTGTGCTCCTCTGATTTCTGCCTTTTTAGTAAAATTGGCTGTATGAAGTGTGGATTTAATAAATTTTTACACATTGATTATTATTTGAAAATTAAGTTAAATTTAACGTATGTAGCATTTCAAGGACATTTTAATGACAGAGACGTAATAAATTAGGTCTATCTAGAGGAAACCATGGGAATATAAGGAAAGTAAACTTTCCTTTTTTGAACATGTTCCTATAATGATTTGTTTTGGTGATTCAGTTCATATTTGGTGTTTTCTGGTATTGCCTTTAATATTATTTTTGGCAAATGGTTTAGAAATAAACCTTTTTTTACACAGACATTACACTTAGTCTGTCAAGGGAAAAAAAAAAAATGTAGGTACTTCAAGGTACTACATTATAAGTAATAGCATGTGAACTACTTACTGATAATATTGCCTAAGATCATACAGTAAGTAGATACACCAAGAGTGCCTTTAGCATTAAGATGAGCTTCAGGATCGGGTCTTTCTACCTTGTAGGAACCAGCAGTAAAAGTCTTGCTGGTGATGCAGTGACCTAAAGAGGAATAAAGCTGCAGCTTTATGCTCTCTTAAGTTCTCTGAGCCTGATGTATGAGTTACTTTAGTTTAGAGATCCTAGATGCTGACTTTAATTTATGTGTGTGGCTGATGACTTTAATATATATATAATCATTGTTGTGCTGTAAAACTAGCAGAAAACCAGATATATTTTTACTTTATGGTAACTGAAGCAGAGAAATAAGTAAATGAGATTAGTTCAGATATCAAATCCAACTCCAGTTTATGAGATACGTCTTGAAATACGTTTATGCATAAAGAATTCCTTCAAATGTCAGTATGTTTATGTTTAAGAGATTAAAGATGAAAAACAAATACATATTAGATTTTAAGATATTCTAATGCTGTATTAATTCAAAGTAAGCTATTGTAAACTAATTCTAGAAGGTTAATACGGCCAACATCTTCCCTGCTTTGACATGGAAAGCTATGAAAAAAAAATTCCACTATAAATGTTGCTGAATACTTCACCACCACTTTATTAACCAGTATTTTGTTTGGTCAAACCTTGTTCTTCATTCAGGCGACTTACAAAAATTGGGGTGGGTAACAAGGCACATACTGCAGGGCTGGGGGTGGAACTGAAGCTGCAGTGTATCTCCTACTGGAGGCTCTGTCAGAGGATTCGGTTGGCTGGCGATTTAAGTCAGTGGAGGGATGGTTTCTGTAACAATCTGGAAATAGAAACAATTATCTGCTCAATAAATGTATTTCCTTTAAATATATCCCAGCATAAATCAGCAAAACAATCTCTATATAGAGTTTGCAAACAGCATTTGCAAGGTCTGAGGCGTCCAATGATGGTGTAGGACCTGATAGCTCTCTGCTGCCACCAAGTGGCCCTACTAGCACATGTCATGCAGAACAGATAACTCATGGTACATCTCAGTTTGTATAAGGGATGAATTCAGAAACAGGTTTAGATTTTTTTTTTTTAATGATGAATCTGGATGACTTACGTTCAGCAGGTCCTCTGAGGACAGACGAACACTGAAGACAGTGAAGACTCTGATCTCTGACATCAGGTTCATCAGAAGAACTAGGAGCCGGAGACATCCCTGTAAAAAAAAGAAATAAATAAATACCCACAAATCAAAACAGTGAATAAAGCTCTTTCACCTTCACCACTCAACCTGCATAATTATATTTCATTTAAGATAGAAGAGGTCTGACAACAGCCTAAAGCTATGTGCTCAAAAAGGTTAAGCTTTGAGAAAGATGATGCTGAAATCCTTACATGTCTGTGTGTTCCTGCTGCGCACATTGACCGTAGGGAGGCTGTGAGCTGCTACAGATGTTTGGGTACATCTGGACACCTGCTGCTCCACATCTGATCTCCTTACTGAAAACACATGATCCACCGCACAACATGTCTTCAATGAAGCCAAAATATAGGATGAATTTATGCAAAAAGGTCGCAACATTTCACATCCACCATGCTCATGAAAAACCCCAGGATAACAGATACCGATCATCATCAGATTGATGAATTCTTTTAAATTATGGCACAAATTATTCAATTAGGGGTTGAATATTTTACTGCAGTTTATAAAACAGGCTGTAAGTTTAATTTGATGCCATCGACCATGCATCATTTTAGATGAACTTACAGACATGGCCCTGTTGCTGTTGTTTCGGGGAAGCATATGTAGTCGCTCTCGATGGTTTACAGGAAACAGATTCCTGCTCGATTGAGTCGATAGATCGAGTCGATCTCCTCGCCAGACTGACATCACTCCAACATTCCCTGGATAAAAAGAACGAAGGATAAAAATGTAACAAACCCTCAAGGAATATATTTCATATTCTACAATGTTTTGTCAATGTCATGAATTTATTTATTTTTTCTGCTTTTGCTGCTTTAGGTGTGAACGTAGCATAACAGTGGCTAGCGTCCAGCCATGGCGTCCTGGACAAGCATTGGAGGGTCGATTCGTTCATGTGTCAGGGTACGCACACGGGAAGGGACAAGCAGACGACCATGACTGACGTGTCAGGAAGCAATCGTGTACAACAGACTATCTTTTGTGATTGGTTGGGGTTATTCATTGATTTCTCACTGTAGCGGGGAGCATTTATTTTAGTTTCACTTCCAGACCTTCTATTTCACTGCTTACTAAGCGGCTGTGGGGAGATCTTTAAGTAAAAAAAATGCATCAGAAAAGATCTCCTACTGCACCTTTAAGAGGAGTTTCCTAAAGTTGCATCAATCTCTTATATTCATCATATGTCTACCATAAGAAGTAAGTTGAACAAATCAGCCAAATATAGTGAAAGGATGAGTTTATCACCCCATGAAACCAAACCACAACTTGTGCTGATGACGTCAAAAAGGTTAATTTTTGGCGTCATCCTGATGGAAATGGAAGTTTTGTAAGGACCAGGTCAAACTTTAGAACTAAAACTGACAGAGAAACTCTAAAGTTCAGAGGAAGAGGGCTGTGGATGAAACATGTCTTCCCTGTCTGAAAGACTGGATGTTGAAGGTGGCAGAAAGGTCAAATGTTCAAAGTCAGAGAGCAGGATGATGAGAGTGTGCCCAATAAAATTATTCATTAACATTATTTCAAGGTTGTCAGACTTACACCAACAGGTTGTTGATTGGTTGAACTGACTGTTATTTGCGGCAATAAAAAAGGAACAAGTTTAAAAATAATTCATGTTCTCATTTTAAACACATAAACCGTGTTTTAATCGGGGTTGTCATGGGAGTCATTTTGAACAGAAATCAGTAAAAACAGCAGATAAAAATCCAGTTTTTATCTGCACACAGAGGATAAAAACAGACCTGATTAGGGGTGAAGAGGTGTTGTGATGAGAGCAGCTCTTCTGAGCTGAAGGAGCTGCTGTCACAGCGCTGAGAGGCTCCTTTTTTCTCGGAGAGCTATCCAGTTTCTCCTTGAGTCTATCTACTTCATGCTGAAGTGTCTTTAATACATCCCTGATAAAAAAGAAGACAACAGAACCATAAAAATTAATCTACCTGGAAGTTTAGATTCAGTATAAATCAATAATCAACACAAAGACATCTCTGGTAATTATCAGTAAACTCCAAATGATGTGAGCAGAAAAACGGCTTTAATGTGAAGATCTCAGGTCAATCTTTGTTCAAATCAGATTAGTACATAGCAGTCAGTCTCATAATAAGCACACTGACACACTCTGAAAATAAACATGCAACACCAAACCATGCAGCAGACAATAGAATGTACCTCCTATAAGTAATCTCATTCAAAAGCTGCAGATTCTGAAATAAAATACAGAGAATCAAGAAGGATTATACATGAGTCTTAAAGAAATTAGAATATAAAAAAGGTAACTTATTCCAATAATAACACAATGTGAGGCATTTACAGTGTGTTTGTAATCTAATAATATTGCTTTTTGATCAAAAATAGTTTAGCTAAATTCAATCTACAACTAAATCCAAACTGTAAAATTAAACGGTAAAAAACTCTGCAGGCATTGCCACTGGAGGCAATTAAAAGATAACCTACAAGCTGTTTGCAGTGGTGTGAGCTAGTTTATAAGTTATAAGGATACATAAAAAAAAAAGATGAACCAAGTCGCTCTGAACTACAGAAGCCTAATAAGTACAAAGCTGAAAAAAAGCACAGATTTGCAGAAAAATGTAACCTGCATAAACAAAGACCCTCCGGCTCATTTTAAGGCATCCATAGGTGTTCTCTTCCTCCGATAACATTTTGTTCTACCCCTTAGCAGAGCTTTTAATCCAGAGTTTCCTACTAATCGGCCTGTCATATGAATCTGTGAGTGTTTGAGTAATTCTGGCTGTAGCATAAAAACAGGTTTATCTGGCAATATGATTTTTTATTTATATCTGAAGCAACCTAGGCTTCCTGAACACATCAGCAAATTACAAAAATAAAAAAAATTGCAGTGCTGAAAGGCCAAACCGGAGCCCAGAGCTCAGTTAATCATGCTCATATAGTCCAACCCAAAAGTCTAAGTTATAAAAACTTAAAATCTTAGAGATTAAACTCAGGGTTCCTACAGCATAAGTTAAGTTAAATTCAAGACTTTTTAAGATTTTTTAATACCACTTGAAATTAAAATTTAAGACCAAATTCACAAGAAACACAAGAAAAAAAAACCTGCTTGCGACAACTTAACCCAAAAGTTTATTTCAACATAAACCACTGCATTAATGTTTCAAATTTTGAAAAGCTTCCCATACAGGAAGAAAGCTAAAAACACACAAATGACAGATATTTTTAACAATTATTTAACTGAATTCACAAACTTTGTTTTAGCAGGGAACAAAACAAATCAGTTTTAAAGCCACAACATAACCAGTGCTAAGTCTTTTTTGCAGCTATTTTTCTTTGTATGGTTTTCTTAGTATGTTTGATTTGGTGATAAGTGGAGGCGTTGCAGAGACAAGGGTGGAACAAAACTGAGAAATACCGGCTGTTTCTCAGTAACTCGATTTTGACGCTTTGTGTTTGGCGCTTCGCATGTGACTCCACTGCCTTAATTCCCATCGTTCTGAGCTTGAATGACTTCTTGCACAAAATCCACTGAGCCTCATGTATGTTCCCTGGTTTTAGCCATGGAGAAAACTCTTGGCTGGAGACAATTTTCGTTACATTTACACTTGCTCATATTTTCCAGACAAAAAGTTAATGGCGCATCTCCCAAATGTCCCGGCCGCAACAACGCTTTATTGGTTCCGCTATCAGGACGGAACCAATGATGGCGAGCCGTTAATTATTTTTTTTAATAAAAAAAAAAATAATGTCAATTTTAACGTTTTATTTAGATTACAAAAATAAATCGTAATAAAAATAATCCTATTTATGATGTTTTACAAAATTAAGACCTACGAAAGACTGATTTAAGACATTTTAATACCAATTAAGGCCTTAGTTTTATTTTGAAGAATTCAATGCCTTTTAAGACTTTTTAAGGACCCGCGGGAAACCTGAAACTATTTGTCACTTCTGCAAACACAAAGCTTGTATTCATCTCAAATGTCCTGCATAAAGATTATAATAGGTCTTACTGAATGATTTGTACACTTGTTTGGTCACAGAAATTGTCAAATTCTTTTTAGACCAAAAGAAAAAAAAGAAAATCCAAGTAACTTTAATAAATCTGTAACCACAGTTGTTCCTAATGATGATCTAGCTCCATCCATGTGAGCTGGATCTAGAATACGTCCTTGTTTAGATCTGGCTCTAAATGCACTTGTTTGCAGGAGTTGCTCCGAGCAACTGCCTTGTTTACTCAGTTATCGCCATGGCACCTGCAGTTACACTCACTTGTGATTCCCTGCCTGGCTGGAGTTTGGTGCTCTGAGAGGGTCACCTTGGCGACGGCTGGCAGCTGGTCTAGAGGTGGAGTGGGAGCTGAGTGGGGAGGCTATAGTTCCAGTGAAGGGGTCGCTCTGCTGCTCCTCAGAGGCCAAGGCGGCTGTAGAAACAGACAGAGCAGCAGGAAAACACTGAAAACTAAATATTAAACATACTTGAATATTTTCACTTAATGTTGTCAACTTGGTTCCAACTAACTGAGCTTTATATGTTCACATTTAGGACTGTAGGACCACTCTGTCCAAACTAATAAACTAAACCTGAAGAAAAGTGTTTAAGCACTCTGGTAAAAAGCATTCCTGCTTGAAATTATAAACTCTAATATCTAATAATAAGAAAAGTTTAGAACATATTAGTTTTGGTTGTATTCAATAGAATAAGTTTGTTGCAAAAGAAATACTAGTAATGAGAGGTAAAATAAAGGGTACATATATGTCACTGTTTTTATGTTTTAATGTTCAGAAACAATCATTCAATGAGCAGGTTTGGGTTTTTTATTGCATTAAACTAATTTTAGTTTCACAAAATTATTTGTTCTGTATTTTGTGTCAATATGTTTATAAAATATGTTAAAGTGAGAATGTTGACTCATAAAGGTGAAGTGACACAACCTTAAACAAGATAAACACGTGTGGAACAAAGGCCAAAACTCTCGCAGTTCAGATGATGAGAATTTGAGATATAAAGCCATCAAAAAACTTTTTACATCATCTTGAGTGGATTTTTACCGTTGCTTCTAGTTGTACTTGAGTCACTTATCCAAAGATCACTCGATCTATCGTCCGTTCTGTCCTGTTTTTTCTGACTGATGAAGCCTTTAGGAGAGTAGGAGAGGTTACGCCTCCTCTGCCTGCTTCTCCTCCTCTGATTGAAGTCGAGTGTGGGGTCATCTATGGGCTCCTGATCCCAGTGACTTGGGGACAGAGATGCTGGCTGCTGTCTCTTAGAGCTTCCGTCCTGAGGTGCAGAAACACTGTTGGACCAAATCAGGAAATTCCAACAAACAAAGAGAGAAAGAACAGGTGAGATAAAAAAAAAAAATGCTCTAAATCCTGTCCTTACAACTGCTATGGTGTAAGGAAAGAAAAGTAAGCAAAATGAGAAGATGGTGGTAAAATGCTGCTGGAATAATGACCTCTCTGTTGCCCTCTGGTGGGAAAGAAGGGGAACTGCTGCAGGAGGCAGACGGCTGCTTTCTGAACCAACAAACCCACTGTCTGTTTCTGGAGAGATGATCCGATCCTGATCAGAAAAAAGACGTGTATATATTAACATGTGTTTGTCAAGCCTTTAGTTTGTGTAATCAATGATGAAAATCCACAAAGCCAGAGCAACGTGTTGGATAACAATTAGACAGCACAGTTCAAATGTCTCTAACATAATGTTAATTATGTGGAGGAGTGCCAGATTCTCAGATTCTTTACAACCACTTCCCAGTTTGTTGTAATAAACGATAAAATACAGCTGCTTGGAAAACAGAGTGATAAAACAATTGCTGCTCAATAATGTAATCAAATATAATCATCATCATTATTGTCAGATTTGAAGCCACAACTATTTAAAATAAGCACTTGCTGTGTGTATATATATATATAAAAGACCCTTTTGGGTCCAAAACAGGTAGTAACTGGAGCAGGGCAATATGGCTTAAAAAGCTATAATCTCCCTTTTTTCTTCCAAATTCATTTAATCTATTGTTTCTCACTTAGGTTTCATAATCAAAATGACAAATAACACATATTACTTTTGAAAACTTCCTTTGATTTCAATCATCTCTTCTGGGAGCTGACCTTAATTTGAAGGGCAATAAAATTCAAGATGTGTAAAAATCATGTTTCATAAAAAAAAAAAATTCAACTAACTAAATGTTTGCATCTTGTGTTATCCCAGCTAGTTTAACAGTTATGAGTATACAGCTAAGAACAGTAACTGATGCCACCCTGATCTTTGGAAGCCGGAGGAGCGGATTTGGGAAACAAATCCAAGATTTACCAAAAATAAAATCTCTATAAGCAAAATATACATTTTTTCCGTTTTATTGACTAAGCGCCTAGCCTTAGGCTATTATTTATTTTTGATGCAGTTTATTTTATCACACTACATAATACGTAAACATATCACCAGAATGATTGATAATTAGGAGGACAACTTGTTTTGATGATCCACCCAGAAAAAGAATGTCTTCCACTATACCTTTAAGTCACATTGCAAAAAAATTGATAAAAAAAAAATAAAAAATAGCCCATTTAAAGCCATTCTAAATCTAGAGCATTCTCAACAAGGCTGTATGCACAAATGGCGTTAAAGTCGTAGTGAAGTTATATTTTAATGTCAAATCATTCTGGCTTAAACACATTTATAAATGTACTCTTTATCAAAAGATATTGTCCAAAAAGTTAGAAAATTAAGAAAGTCTTAAAATCTGTGGTTTTTCTTCGTTATTTTATGCAGGCCAGTTAGTTATACGTCAGCCTGAACACCTAAATTCGACCAATCATATATCAACGCTCAACTGTCATTCAAATTCTTTCTGTCATAGCATCTTGATTCATATGTCCCAGCTAATATACGCAATGGTTGAAATAAAAAAATAATAATTTACTTTATCATTGAGTTACATCCTAGTGTTCACGTGTGTTCAACATGTACGGCTGTAAGCCTTCTACACCAAACCAAGCTTCTGCCGCTCTGGCGTCCTCTTCCACAACAACTTTGTCCCCGCTTTCCTCATCTAAATAAAAAATGTATGAAGGAGGAGACTCATCCATGACCTCCGACACAAAACTCTCCTCCTCTTGTATGTTTCCGCTGTCCATAGCAAGATGCTTCCAACAAACTGGCCACAACCAAACGTACTTGCGACCTTTCCGCCACAACAACCCTGCCCCCTTTGATAAACGACCAATCACATTCACTTTATTCACTCGTGTAAAGTCGTGGACCACTCGGGAGAATTCGGTAATGCAACCATTACAGCCGCTTCCTTATGACTTTAAGGAAACAATTAAGATTTAATATGTAGTTAAAAGAAAACATGTCAGAATAGATTTCTTCTACAGAACAGATAAACTGATCCCATATCTGTAAATGACAGCTAAAACTCGCCTGAGGCGGCGCTTTCCTGCCTCCTGTTTGAACTTTGGAGTTCCTCCATGCCGATCCGACATCCGCTAGGCTGCTCATGCTGCTGCTGGGAGACGCTTTCCTCTCCAACCTTCTTCTGTTGCGTGCAGAGGACGGACTGCATGAGGGAGGAGGTCTGGTGACAGAACAACGCTGACTGCTTGGATAAGGTGGAGAGTCGTGGTCTGAGTCCACTTTTCTGCTCCAGAAATACAAGTGTGTCCATAGGTCAGTATAATTATCCTGATCTTAAAGAAGAAAATAATTTCAAAGCCCACAAGCAGACGACACTTGAAGGAACAAAACATAACGGCTTTAAAATGTATTACCACCTTTTCACCGAAACATGCATCAGTTCATATAAAATCTTTTTTTTCTGTTCCGGTCTGAAGACTCACCTCTGCGTTTGAGTTTCCAGGACTTTATCGTTTCCATTTCTCAGACCTTTCCTATGTTCCTTGTTCTCATGATGTATTGAAGGGTTGTTTAAAGAAATGCACGATGGAGACTTGAGAAGTTTAGAAAGCTCATTCGATGTTTGGTCGCTAATTAAAGGAAAGGAGGAAAAACAAAACAAACATACTTATCTGCATCTAAACGGATCTAATCATTTTCCTTTATTGGGAATATTCAATTTTAAATTAGAACTAGAAAATTCTCACTTACTGCTGCAGTGGCTCAGTTTGCTCCTGCTCATCACATCCCACTTTGCTAATTAAAGGTCTCTGGTGGATAATCTTGAGAGTTTCTTCATCATCATCACTATCACTCCTTTCACTAGCTAAACTAGCCTCTACTTCAGCTGCAGGAGAAGGATCAATCTGGAAAGGCTCAGATATACTCTGCGAAGAGAAGAGGATGCTAACTGAATTTAAACGATCTAAAAACTTACAAAGAATATTATGATGATAAAGTTCAAATCACAGTTTTTGTTCCATAAGAAACAGGAACAAACCAAGGAGGATTAGATTCTCACCAAAAAAGCTAAAACATTTCTATACCAGTTCCACATATTAGTGAGAAAAATAAAGCTAAACATGTTCTGATGTGGACGTAAAGTCATACATTTGGAAAAAATTTATAATTTTCCAGATTAGATACACTATATAAAAAATAAGATATTCTGATAATGTAAAGTGCTATAAAAATTAATAAGAAAAAAAAAGCTTTTTCAAGATAAGGTCAAACATTAGATAAAGTGTTCTATGACTGAAGTTCTAAATTTACAATTTTTTGTTCATTTATCTACTAACCCTGATATTAAGGTCTGTATCCAGTCATTCAATTCAATTTTACAAAAAAGTACTGAATAAAATTGAATATATATATATATATATATATATATATATATATATATATATATATATATATATATATATATATATATATATATATATATATATATATATATATATATATATATATATACACATATACATATACACATACAGTATATATATATATATATTAAATGAACAAATGACTGAACTAAAATTATGTTAATATTTCTGAAGTAGAATCCTTATACAGGAAACAGATTAATTGATATTTAACTTTTTAAATAATTAAATGAGCAAGTTTGGACTAAGTAATGTTCTCAAATCCCAATATTGTGAAAACATTTTTCAGCAACAAATAGACTTTTCCAGGATCAGCTATTCTGTCTTTTGTCACTTATTTCTATGCTGAACTTCTCTTTAGACTGATGGAAGATATTTCCTTACTGAGCTCAATCAACTGATTAAACATATCACAACCTTAAAAATAATCAAATAAAGGCTCTGGCGACCTTTATTTTTGAAAGTAGGTAAACAGGAAATGAGAGTAAAGAAACAGCAGCATCGAGGTCCTAAGCCTCATAAAATAGCTTTACCCCTGCCCCACCCAATGATCTCAGTTTTGAACTATTTTATAATTACTGCAGTTTGTAAAAAAAAAAAAAAAAAAAGAAAAATAAACATTTCCAAATGTGTCAGAAATGTATGAGTGGTTGAGAGCATTTTACTCCAAATTATACAAGCCTTATGTAGCAGATTTACATATTCAGCATATTAATTTAATCTCTAGTCTCCAACAGACAGGAATACAAATCAAATATAATCTTGTTTTTCATGAGTTTCCATATATTTCGGATTTTATGCTCAGTTTACAAATGGAAAACCTTCCCTGACAGAAAGAAGGTGTTAGAACCTGTGAATGGGGGTGGGTAATTTCTCCTTCTTCCAGTGGATCAGGTGAGGAGGCGCTTCGAGGAGGTGAAGGAGGAAAAGAAGCAGCAGAAGTTTGGGGCTCCTGCTGAAGGTTCCCCACCTGCTCCTTCAGCTCATCCATTCGCAGTCCACACTGAAAGACCAGACCTTCCAGCTCCCTGAAAAACAGACAAACGTATTAAACCCACCCAATGTCAGTCAACCACAAACATTTTATATAAAACATCTCTGTAAAGCTTTTCTACGGAAGAGGATTAGGGCCACTGAAAAAAAAAAAAAGTTTACTGATTTTTTTTTTATTTTATTTCAGTATAGTATGGGAAAAAAGTCAGAATTCTGACTTTTTTCTCAGAATTCTGGCTTTAATCTCAGAATTCTGACTGAATTCTGACAATAAAAAAGTCAGAATTCTTAAATTAAAGTCAGAATTCTGAGAAAAAGGTCAGAATTCTGACTTTTTTCCCCATGTTAAACTGAAATAAAATTTAAAAATCAGTTTACTTTTTTTTTTTTTTTTTTAGTGGCCCTAATCCTCTTCCGTACTTTTCTCACCGTTCAGGATCAAAGTTGCAGGTTTCTGCTCCTCTTTGCTGCAGGAGTTTGTGTTCATCCCGAGCCAGAAGGAAGCCCCTCTCTAAAGAGTTCAGCCCCTCAGAAAGCTGAGAAATACCCTAAAGGAGAGCAGGAACTCATCAGATTAGAACAGATGAGCCAATCAGATTACTGAATAGAGCTTGGCTTGTCGTTCTTACTTTTAACTTTTCAAAAGATGTTAGTTTATCACGCTTTAGAAGATCATCAAAGGTTTGGAGCTGAAAAAAAAATGCAAAATGTTAAATCCTTGGTAGATTTTTCAACTGACCGGCGTTTGTTCATCAGTTACCTGCTGGAGGAACTTCTCAGACTGACTGAAGAGGAGGTTGGAGAGCTGTTGTCCCAACCTGGATGTTGATGGGGAGGGATTTGCTTTTTCTGCTCAACAAACAAGCTGGTTACAAAAAATGGTTTCAGTCGTATAAATATATATTTAAGATTTAACATGGAGACCAACAACAGCCTTACCCTGCTGACTACTTTGTCCATGAGAGCAGATCTGGGCCCTCTGAGCTGGGGAAAAATCAAGGTTCAAGAGGTTTGAAGCATGTTGACTCGTTCCAGAATGCACAAAGTGACCGGCCTTTGGAGGGTCAGAGAACAGGTTCACCTGGAGGGCACAAAAAAGACTTGACTAATAACAGATTAAAACATATCTGCTTTAGAGTAGAACTAAAAAAAAATTTTTTTAATCCGATTAATCGATGATTTAAATTATCATCAATATATTTTCTAATCAAATTACCTAGAGAAATGCTACACAGACTGTAAAACATGCCATTTACTAAAAGAATTACATAAACATATATATTTATTACGCGTTTTCTCCATGAATGGTTCATCAAAAATGAGCAAAAAAAATTTCATTTTTTAAAATTCCAAAGATTTACAAAATTTATAAAAAGTTGGTTCTTTTAAAAAAAAAAAAAAAAAAAAAAAAAAAAAACAACACTAGATGGATTTATCGATTGCTAAAATGATCCATAGCTGCAGCTCTACTAGCTTGAACATTAAAGCAACATTTAACTTGAACATAAGGTTTTTAAGGAATAGAGCAGCCTTAGATGCTTTTATTTAAAAACATTTTTAACTTAATTTTTTAACTTTGGTCAGACTGTAGAAACCTGCCTTTAGTTCAACCTCAGTTTTCTCCTGTTCATGTGGTTGTTGTCCAAGTTTTTTTTGTTCTACTATATATATATATATATATATATATATATATATATATATATATATATATATATATACAGGACTGTCTCACAAAATTAGAATATTGTGATAAAGTTCTTTATTTTCTGTAATGCAATTAAAAATCATGAAATGTCATACATTCTGGATTCATTACAAATCAACTAAAATATTGCAAGCTTTTTATTGTTTTAATATAGCTGATTATGGCGTACAGCTTAAGAAACCCAAATATCCTATCTCAAAATATTAGAATATTGTGAAAAAGTATACTAGTAGGCTATTCAACTAATCACTTGAATTGTCTAATTAACTCGAAACACCTGCAAGGGTTTCCTGAGCCTTGAAAAACACTCAGCTTGGTTCATCAAACTAAATCACGAGTATGGGGAAGACTGCCAATCTGACTGCTGTCCAGAAGACCATCATTGACACCCTCCATCAGGAGGGTAAGACACAAAAAGAAATTTCTCAAAGAGCAGGCTGTTCACAGAGTGCAGTTTCAAAGCACATTCACAAAAAGTGTGTTGGAAGGGGGAAATGTGGCAGGAAACGCTGCACAACCAAGAGAGGTGACTGCAGCCTTCACAGCATTGTGAAGAAGAGCCGCTTCCAGATTGTGGGGGAGCTTCAAAGACCAGTCCAGGTATCAAAAGCCACTGTTCACAGACGTGTCCGGGAAATGGGCTACAATAGCCGTATTCCCATGGTCAAGCCACTCCTGAACTCAAGACAACGGAAGAAGCGTCTGACTTGGGCTATGGAAAAGAAGCACTGGACAGTTGCAGAGTGGTCCAAAGTCCTCTTTTCAGATGAAAGCATGTTTTGTATGTCATTTGGTAGTCAAGGCGCCAGAGTCTGGAGAAAGGCTGGAGAGGCGCAAAATCCAAGTTGCTTGAAATCCAGTGTGAAGTTCCCACAGTCAGCGATGGTTTGGGGAGCCATGTCAGCTGCTGGTGTTGGTCCACTGTGTTTCATGAAGTCCAGAGTAAATGCAGCTGTGTACCAAGAGATTTTAGAGCACTACATGCTTCCATCTGCTGAAAAGCTATAGGAGATGATGATTTCATTTTCCAGCATGATCTGGCACCTGCCCACAGGGCCAAAACCACCAGTAACTGGTGTACTGACCATGGCATTACTGTCCTTGATTGGCCTGCCAATTCCCCTGACCTGAACCCCATAGAGAATTTGTGGGGTATTGTGAAGAAGAAGCTGAAAGACACCAGACCCAACAATGCAAATGAGCTAAAGGCCGCTATTGAAGCATCCTGGGCATACATAACACCTCAGCAATGCCACAGGCTGATTGCCTCCATGCCACGCCGCATTGATGCAGTAATCTGTGCAAAAGGATTCCCAACCAAGTACTGAGTGCATTAAAGGACATTTTCAAATGTTTGATTTTGTTTTGCTGTTATAATTTTTTTTTTTTACTTGGTCTGAGGAAATATTCTAATATTTTGAGATAGGATTTTTGGGTTTCTTAAGCTGTACGCCATAATCAGCTATATTAAAACAATAAAAGGCTTGCAATATTTTAGTTGATTTGTAATGAATCCAGAATGTATGACATTTCATGATTTTTAATTGCATTACAGAAAATAAAGAACTTTATCACAATATTCTAATTTTCTGAGACAGTCCTGTGTATATATATATATATATATATATATATATTTCTTTTTTTTTTTTTTTTTAAGGTTGTTTTTGTTTATTATAGTGGGTTGAGTTCTCTCAGAAGCTTAAATCAGTCTGTGCAGCAAAAAGTTAAAATATGACATAAATAAAAAACTTCAATTCAATATCTTGACTTATGTTCATCCCTTATGTCTCCTAGACCAACCAGAGGATGTAACATATCAACAGAGCTTTATTTAGCTTACTTTGGGATGCTAAAACTGTCTGGACTTTGTCTTTTGGTTGTCTTTATCATCTGAAAGTACAGTTTGAAACACACTTTTAAAAACTAGAAGCTTATACCACTGTTTGCACTACTTATATCTAAATGTCAAATCATTGTGGCTTAAACATGTATATAAATTTAATCTTTATCAGATGATAGAAAAGATGATAGTTAGAAAATGTGTATTTAAAAAAAAAATCCTGTCTTAAAATCTGTGGGTTATTTTATTTTCTGCAGGCCAGTTAGTTATACGTCAGCCTGTACACCTAAATTCGGCCAATCGTATATCAAAAGTCATCTGTCAATAAAATCTTTTCGGTCATAGCATCTTGATTCATCTACAGAATCATTTACTTTATCTGTGTCTTCGGCAGGTGTAGAGCTAACAGAAGGGCTCAAACATTTACGGCTGTAAGCCTTCTGCACCAAACCAAGATTTTGCCGCCCTGGCGTTCTCTTCCAGAACAACTTAATCCCCGCTTTCCTCTTTTCCTCATTTCCACCATCATATTAGCTTTTGATCACAAAATGTCACATTCCTTTGCAAATAACCTTTTAGATTCAATATAGGTGCCTTTTTGTGGATTTTATTTTTCCTAAATCAGTTTTTGAATCATCAGTTCAGATCATATAAGTGTAGTTTGAATCATTTGTTGTGACACTTCCTGTCTAGCGATCAGGCAGACATAGAGAAGAATTTTCAGCGCCATCAGGTTTTTTTGTTTTTAAAACTGTTGAAATCAGATATGAAACGTTTAATAATTCCAGGGACGTGATCAGTAATTAATCAAGTGCAGAACAATGGGAGCTGGATTTATTTTACCACTGAATGTTTTAGCTCTTGATCTAACAATCATGCCTGCTAAATATTAAGACATAAATATACTCATTTCAAAAGATTCCTTAATTTAGGGACAGAACCATTAAAGATGTTGGTGAAAATGCTGCCAAAATATTCACCTGTAATTATTTAATCACCTGTGGCTGAAAACTTCATCTTGGAACAACTATTTTGAACATGGAGGATAAAACTGGATGCCCTGAGCTTAGCTTTAATGCAGTATGAGAAATCATTTCAAATGGTGGCAGCAACGTGTTCAAGAGCAAAAATAGGGTTTTGTTTTTCTTTTTAATATTAAACAAAATTGTTGGGTAGTGTTAAGAGATGCAACATTACTTCTATTTAATGAAAAATCCAATTTGTGAGACCACTACTGTTGTCATTGATCTAAAGCTTTGTTTTGAATTAACTTTAAAAAAGATAAATAATAAATCATACTGGCACCAAGATAAAATACTATTTTCCTAACTCCTGTGAAAACACAAAAAATGTTTCAAAACGAAAAATGATGCTTCATAGTGTGAGATAAACTACCTTGGCTTCCAGACGGAGGCGATCGATGGTGTTCTCTGCCTCGGCATTCTTGGTCAGCAGCTTTTTGTAGTTTTCCTGCAGAGAAAAGGATAAAAACAAACCATCAGGACAAGAGAAAGAGAAGGCAGAGTGGGGATCACTTATTGCAGTTTGCTCTGAATATGATTTAAAAAAAAGAATTAGCTAAAGACAATTAAATAATTTTAAAGCTTTCCTTTTTTTTTAAACAAGGTGTGCATCTTATTGAGTTTGTTCTAAATATCATTAAATGCAGACCACATATTATATAGTAGTGAAAGAAACAGTTTACATAAGTTTTAATTCGTTTAAAAAGCATACACCTATAATAAAGGGAGGTCAGTGGTCTATAAAATCCAGTTGACCTAAATGCCCTCAGAAGGCATCAACCTGCATCTAGTGTCGCCCGTTTCTGTCCTCAGAGGCAGTTAGGGATCTTTAGCGGGAAGTCATTGTGAAGACAAATCTATTCTCTTTAACTTTAAACATCTCCCAGAGCTCAGCTTAATGCATAATCTGAAACTGAGAGGACAAACATGACCCCTCTAAGTCTGTCATTAAAAACTGGCATTGTTATGGGGATTAGGAATATAGTTGAACAATGAAAAAATTATTTATTGAGATATAATTTATATTGTTATTAGTAAATAAAATTTAAGTAATAAATACCTTTTTTTTTAGATATGAGAGTAGATTAATTAAATGGACAGATACAACTTTTAAACAACTTGATAGAGATGGGCCATATGGCTTAAAAATCTAAGCTCTGATTTTTCCTACCAAAATCAATTAATCATTTTTCTCTTAAGTTTCATAGTAAAAATTAGAAACTACACTGATTTCTTTCAAAAAGCAGCTTTGCTTTCAATCATCATAAGAGGTGAACTTAATCTAAAGTCAATGAAATTTAAGTCATGAAAATTGTAAAATGTTTCACGACAAACAATGAAAATATGACTTAATGTTTGTAGCTCGTAATTAATCAGTTATAAATTACATCTAAAAACTAAGAGTGATGAACTGATGTCAACCAAAGCTGTAGATTAAATAAAAAAATACTAAAAATCCATGTTTTCCAGGAGGAAAATCTTGATAAACAAAACATTTGATTAATCAATATTATTAATTAATTAATACATTTGACAAATTTAGGGCTGATACAATACTCTTCTGTTTTTGTGGGAATTCTTGGTTCTATGTCCACCTGCTGAGAAAGTGTTTGGGATTACAGGTTGGAAAAAGGAATCTGAAGAACGTTCCCATGCAGCCATCCATTAACTACTGGACATTCTTAGTTGTAATTCCAATATTTGGCAGTTTATTTTCCAGCTCGTACCTGAAGCTGCTGCAGCAGAATCATGGCCTGTTGCGGACACATGAACTCTGGAGGGACCATGGAGTTGGGAACGTCTGCTGGTGCGTTGGAATCAGCGGAAGCGGACGACCCGTCGGTTGGCGCGTTAAACAGGACTTCCTTAACGATGTCGGCGGGGGATTTAAACACAATCGGGGGCTCAGGGGACAGGGGGGTCCTCGTCAATGAGCTCTTGCGTCTTGGAGGATTGTAGACACGTTTAGGGAAATGAACCCGGGGTTCCACCTTAGAGAAGTCTGGTGTGTGCCGACTTGTTGATGCTCTAATGAAAATAAAAGAGGGAAGATCAATAAAAATAGACAAAGAGGAAAGAAAGGGAAGAGTTAAACACAAAGTCACCTGAATGCATTCATTCCTGCAGGATGTTTTCTGTCAGGACTGTTGCTCGGCTGTTTGAGTTTTAAAGAGTCTTTCTTGGCTCCTCCAAGGGAACATGTCGCTTCAGAGGAGTGTCCAGCTTTCTGTTTTTCTAAAACTCTTTTAGGAATATCCTTTAACTCAACTTCTTCACAAAATACATCTGTGGGCAGAGGAGAAGCCCTGGGCTTCATCACCGGACACCGGGGACTTGATTTCACACTTGCTTGACTGCAATAAGAGTCTGTTTCTGTGAAGCCCATGTCTGGGAAGGTTTCTGCTTCAATTCCCAGAGCGGCAGTCAGTTCCTCCTCAGGGAAACGGTAAAGATGAGGCAAAAAGGAGGCAGTAACTGTAGGCTCAGATACCAGATGGTCAGGGTTGGAGTTTTCAGATGGATTTCTATCAAACCTACAATTAGCCAAACCTTCTCTAGCCTCAAGCTCTGCTGATGTGTGAGGGACTTCATTTCTCTTTCTAGTTATTTTACTCCCTTGGTGATCTTCATCTTCTTCCTCCGTCATGATGAAATGCCTGCCATGGTCATTCTCGCTCTGCCTCGCTATCCAATCCTCAGTCCAGGCTTTTAATCCACCTTTCAAACCAAAGAACAAAGGCATTGATTTAACAAAGGTTGCTGATTTAATCCTAAAGAAACCAGAGTTCCATCATGTTTTAAGAAAAGTCACATACTTTTCTAGGTCTGCATTCCCTTAGCTGGACTTCTTGTTCTTATCCTTTATCATTGAATATTTAGCACAATGTCTTACATCATTTTAACAGTTAAAGTTAGAAAAAAAAACTTCAAAAGTAACCCGACAATAAAATTTCTAGCCATAGATCCAGAGACAGACTGCAACGCCTGATACATTTGGTCCCTTTGATATCAGAAATAAAAAAATAAAAGATTCAAACATTATCAGAAGTTTAAATTGGTAAGATAAAACCACAATGAAAGTAACTGTTAGATTTACTTTAGTAAATGTCTGAATAGAAAAACTGGGTATAAACCATTTTTTAAAGGGGGTGATTGTAACCGATTTCTTTTCTGCTTCTTTACAAATAATCTTTTTCTGTTGACAAAAATAATCTTGTTGATCACAGGCTGTTGAATTGTCTTATAAAAGTCCCAGTGGAGCGCTTCCATTCAACTACTCATATTTCCCTTTACGTATTTCACTCCCTTCGTTTGGGCTTTCAGGAGGTCTAGGATATGTTCTCATTTCTCCATCATTTAGACTGGATCAACATGCATTTAAGAGCAAAATTAATTCAAAAGCTAGATATTCGAGCATTAGATAAAGTGTGAGTCTTTGGACGTATCTTAAATATGTGACTGATGTTGGCTTTAATAATTATGTATTTATTCTTTATTACTGTCATTGTGTTAAAATACATGCTCTTAAATTGTTTTGTTTTAATATAACCCAAGATTGACTCTTTTAATAACTAAATATCTCATCTGTTTCTTATACTGTAGTATTTATAATATCTTCCCGCTTAAAGAATGACACTTTCAAGCATTCAATACTGACCACCTCCACTAGGAACTGCTTCCTCTGTAGTGGAAGGACCGCTGTGACCACAAGCTTCCTCTAGTTTCAGGTCTTCCAGTGCCTGTGACAGCCCAATGATGCCATTTTCATCCATCTGCTTAACAAAACCATCCACTTTTGGATCTTCCTCTTCATCTTCCCAGGAATCCTCGGGTGTCACAGAGGTGGCGGGTGAGATCCAGAGCGGAGCGGGAGTCCACTGCAGAACCCCGGGTCTGGTGTTTCTTCTTCTCTCCATTCCCGTTCAATCACCTTCTCAGCCAAACCAGGATATCTGACATCACTCTTCTCTGTATAGAAAACACAAAACTAGTGGGGTTATTTTTCATTAATACCCAAACATACAGATGAAATAAAATATGGAGAACCAAAAGCACTGCAATTGAGTAATCTAATAAATTTACATTTTCATTGTACATGCAACTATTTTATTCTTATTTTCTTAAATTGTGGTACATTTGTCTTTTAAAAACTGTAGGATACAAGTGCAGCAATCCCAACAATTATTAATTAAATAGTTACTGAAATGCTATATTTAAGGGTTATAGTTCAAATCGAATGATTTACATATAAAATCTAAATGATCAAAACTTTATATAAATACATCCAAATTAAATATAGTGATTGATAAAGGCATATTTGATCTCCCATACAAAACAGAAAGATAGGTTTTAAGGGAGAAATTAATATTGATATTATTGATTTAGAAAATAATCTATTTAATATCAGATATGTTAGAAGAAATACTGGGAATTAAGAAAAACAAAACAAATTATATTTCTTTAACAACTGATTTAAAGAAACATATGAGTTCCTACTGAAAAATATCTTAAAATAGCCTTTTCATTTGACCATTTACAACTAAACATTGATGAGCAGACTGACGCCTCAGTAGTTCAGCACCGATGTATTTATAAGCTGGTAGCCTATTTTCCTCAATTTACTTTGGCTCAGAAGTTCCTGCGCTGTTTGGCGGATCTAACGTCTAGGGTGTCCATGCTAAATGGGTCCATCCTAGCAAACAATGATAGCTTCATATTTAAGATGGATTTTGTGGATACTCAGAAGGGGCCAGTGTCCAGCTCAACTCAGTTGGCAGTTGTTGTTCAAAAAACAACCAACTTGTTACTGTAAGTATGAGTGCGAGCTACAGGTACGACCAAAAGAGTGCTGCAGTTCTGGGTTTTGGCCACAGGTGGCAGCATCATTATAAAACCCCGTAATGCTTCTTTAAAAAAAGAAAGGAATGAAAATACACAAAACAAATTATGAAATAAAGAAATTAAAAGATCAATTAGTTTATTTATAAGTCTTTAAAAATTAAGTAAAAAAATAAAGGCAGGGAGACAAATGATACCCACACAAAGGAGTGCAGACAGAACACACTTTCTGGGCAAAAAACAGTCCCACAGGAAAAAAGAAAAAAACAAAACAAAAGAGAAAAAGCATAATCTGCTTGCATTGAACAGTTTGGCCCTTTTTATATTTCTAAACATTTACCTACAGAAACTACAAAACAGCCATCAGAAGTTTGAAGGTTTTATCTAATCACTTACCTGCACCATATTGTCATCCTCTAGAACTTGGCACAACAGCCATTAAATCTGTTCATTCCATGATAATTAAGAATACACCTTAAGGGTGCCAATCAACATCTCCTAGTAAGATAAAAACAACCCTAGACGTCACCTGGTGCGGTATGTCTCATAAAACCTTTTAACCCTAGGCATGTCTCTAAAGCACTCTCCTAGAGCTGCATCACCCACCATTAGAACTAAACAATTAAAAAAACGAGGTCAAGCTGCTCTTAAATCTGATCCTGAACACAAATGAAGCCCCTCTACACATAATCAATTCAAATGTAAACAGCTAAACCTTTTTAACTGGAGAATTTAAACTGCCCTTAAAGCCCAGGTAGCATTATTGTTAGAATTTTAAATTAAAATACTAAAATGTGTTTTTTATGCTGTAAAATTATTTATTCTTAGTTCAGCTTAAAATAAAGCACCACAACCAGGACTTAGAGGGGGAATAGGATTGGTTTTAGACTTTACATAAAAAGATGAATATGAATAAGTAAAAAATTAGATAGGATAGGTTAAATTGGAGTTAAGATTCTTATTTAGAAGGTTTTCTTTTTGTTTGCTGAGCATTATTGCGCTGTTGGGCTTTAGTTGTGAAACTGAACCACTGATGTGTTGTTAGAAACAAACGTAAATGAGCAGTTTCTTCTCAGCACAGGGCTACAAGTGCACCTGTTGATTTGTTCATGCTCCTTCCAGGTTATTCCCTGCAGAACTAAGGATTTATCTCAGCTGCCATATGGGGAGGAAGAGTTAAGCTGCTCAGAACCCCTTACAGGGGGCTTCACTGGCCACGGACAGGCAGTGATCATCAGTATACATGCAGAAATTAGACAGGCTCAGGTTCTGGACAAGACACACACTTATACACTAATCACCTGACCGTCTAGCCTTTATGGATCCATCTGGAATGAACATCTGAGATGGATGTTAAAGAACAGGAGGAAAGGAACAATGAAAAAGGAAAGTCTGTCAAAGCAGTTACATGGATTGAAGACCCTCCACAGTGATATCAGACCAGTATTAGTGAGGCAAAACAAATGCAGACGGATCCAACAGATAGGAAGATGGGTAAAGCACAGCCTGCAGGGTGGCTCAGATATTTGACAGATTATTCCCTGAAGATTCACTAATGAGATCCGAGGGACGCAGGATACACATGCGTAAGGACTGGTGAAAGAAAACAAAACCAAGTCTGCGTAGTCAGTATTTTGATTTTCTAGCAAGGATATATTGTTTACTAAACTGTAATTAAAGCTTCCTTGAAACAGAGGGAATGGGGAGAATCTAAAGCAGGCATCCCCAAAGTCGGTCCTTGAGGGGCCGCTGTGGAGGTTTCCCTGCTTTAGCACAGCTGATTATAACGATTGCAGTAGACCACAAGCCTGTTAATCAGCTTTCAGTTAAAATCAGCTGTGCTGGAGCAAGGAAACCTCTAAAACCTGCAGGACAGCAGGCCTCAAGGACCGAGGTTGGGGATGCCTGATCTAAAGAATATAAACACTTTCAGAATACGCTCAACCAAGCATCCTGGTCATTTTTCTCTTTTGCTGTTTTTTTTTTTTCTGTGTTTACAAACAAAGAAGGAGTTAATTCATTTTAAAACATATTTTGTGCAGGAGTAAATACAATATTGACACTATAATCCACATAAAAATGGTTTACAATTATAAATCCAGCTTCTTTTTTTTTTTTTCTTTTTTTTGTACAGTTGATTTGATCAAAGCAAAACAAAAAATGCATGTTCAGATTGATGAGAAAAAAAAATATTGTTTTAAATAGTCCTTTATATATACACACATTTTATATAATTAATGACTAAAGTTATTAAGCGATAAATGAAGAAAGGTCACTTTGCAGCACTCAGACTTGCTCAATATTAGCCTGTTTCAGAGATGTTAGCTAAACAGAGCAGCAGAGATCTAGAGGGGAGCATTTTACGGCTTGCTCCGTTGCCTAGAAACCACTGAACAAAAAAGCAAAAAAAAAAAAAAAGAAAAAAAAAAAGGGAAGACTTTGAGAAGAATGGACCCACCCCTCTGCCCCTCCGTATCACCATGACATTCACGCCACAACAAACCACCCACTGAGACCGATTCAATAAAAGTAAAAAACAACCGCAAACTTTTATAAATATTTAGAGACAAATCTACCCTTCTTTTTGCGACCCTTTTATTAGAAAGTGCTTGATGAAAAAACGTTAGCTTACAGCCGCTGGTGGTTAAGAAGTTCGTTACGGTTTACAAGTACGCAAAAGATGTTACAATTTAAAATTCGTATATTCAGCCCATTTCAAAAGTTTATTTTGAGAAAACTTTACCTTGTTTTATCAAGCCTTGAGCAGCGCCTCCTCTGCGGTTATCGCAACACAGGTGACATTAAGAAAGCTAATTATCAGTCTTGAAAACGGTAACGAATCTGCTGGATGGAAGACTAGCAGAGGATGCGGGTCAAAATTTACCCTACGTTTGCTATTTCAGGTCTTACTAACCAAATATTTTACACAGACATGGGATTTTTCCAATTCACACCAAGTATGTACAGCATAAATTCTATATATATTAACAACTGCTTTAGATACACGTTACATTTCTGGAGAAAGTTTGAAGTATCTTACCTTACAGTCAATATAGAGAGTAAATCGCGTCACCCTAAAGCTGGTTTAGCTGAAACCTAAGCTGTGATTGGTTATTTGCTTTAAAGGGGCGGAACGTTTATTCTGGATTAGACTTCGGAAAGTGTAGGTATTAGATATAGCCACAAGAGGGCACTGTTCAACAATAATTAAAAATTTAAAGCAGATAAGTATCATGTAGAACTACTATGAAAGAAATATAAATTCTTCTAAAAATTATAATTTTTCAGTCCTTCATATTGTTCTTCTTACAGCTGAAAAAGCAGCACCTGACTAACAAAGAAAAGTGTTTTAAAATTAAACGGTTGTTTGCAAAATAATTCATAACTCCCAACTTCTCATTCTTTGCCACATTTCAAAATACAAACTTCAGTGTATTTCTTCTGAAATTAAACAAATTACTCTAAAAGTTATTGGTAAAAAAATGTCATTAACAAGGTAAAACACAGAGTGGTTAGACAGGTGAAAGCAAACAGAATTTCACTCCAAAAAATGATTCCTGTTGCAAAGCATACCAAGGGTAATTCAATTTAATTTAAAAACATCTTGAGCCAGAAGGGAAATTAAATTAATTGTCAATTTTCAAACATCTAAATATTCCAAGGAGCTATGTTGGAGCCATAATCCAGAGGTGGAAATTGAATAATTTCAGTTTAAGCCATTTACTATTATTGAAAGTGACATAATTCATTCATGATGTAAGAATGGCTTTAGTGTCCAGTATGTGCTGAGCTCAAAGATGCACAGGACTCTTTTCCATCATAAAAAGGACAAATGCAATAGAGCCCAAAGCTATTTGTATTGTGGTTTCAGCTATTTAAGAAAACACAACAAAGAACAAGTCTAGAAAGAAACTGGTTGTTAAAGAAATAAGAGACATTTTAATGTGAGAAGCAATGTAACAAAAAATATCATAATCAACCCCCGGGGTGCCCTGTGATGCTGCACCTCACAAGCACAGGTCGAATCAAGTTAAAGGACAGACTGTTCTCATCCATAAATAATAGAGCCAGTATGACACAAAACGGAAAGCAAATGGAAAATCCAGTGGAAACAGCATTTTTAACCTCATCTGCACTGCAGAAGATTTCAATAGTTGTCTATTTTCAAGGGTATTCTTAAAACTTTCCTTTATGATAAACCTTTTATTTAGAGTGGCTCAGGTTATCCTGAGCTATCTCTATAGTTATGCTGCTATAGGCTTAGACTTCTGGAGGACATAGGGACCCCTATTTCTTCATTTTGCTTCATTCTAACCCTATTCTCCCACTCTGCAGAATCTATAGGTTCAATCTCTAACGTTATCCTCTCTGCATTTCTCATAGTAGCTTTGTGTGGCACTAAAGGGAAGCTAGTATTTTTATGAACGTCTGAAATTCCATGATTAAGGGGGCTGACTGTAAGGACATGACCTGGCTGCTCACACGCCCTTTTTGATCTGAGAACTAAGCCAGAACTGAACCGTTCTGAGTCCTACTGATGGATTCCAGAATGTGCCAGTTTAGAGCGGTTCGGTTGTGTTTGGCACAGTCTGGTCCTGTTCAGTTGTGGGTGCCATTTACACTCAACAGTTATCTCGGTTACCATGCTCAGACCGATCTCGGCTCGGTTTCAAAAGGTAAGTGTAAATGGGGCTAATGGGTAACAGTTTTAGAGGTATTTAGAAGCAGAGTGTGAGTGGATTTTATTTTGAAAATCCCTCGCTATCCTGGTCCTTGTGTCCTCTCTTATAGGGGTTACAGTAAACGGTGAAAGGGCCAAAAAACAAGCATGCGAGCCAACATGGAGGTGGGAGTAGGAGCCAATAAATTTCATATTCAGTTTATGGTGACCAGGAAGAGACTTTAGGAGCACTCAGCTTCCTCATCCATGTCTTTTTAGAGTTGACCTTGCTTTGTACTCTGGTGCTCAATCATGTTTAAATAGAAGAGGACGCTCTCTAAACTGTTCCTACAGAGCAAGAAGAATGAAACTGTCCAAAATGTTTTGTTGAGCTAAAGTATTACAGGTTCCTTTCATCAGATTTGGGATTTTATGTGACCTACTCTACATGGCAGAATTAATGTCATTCCCAATTATTTCCACTTAGTCATAACACAACTGACAGTTGCATATTTATAATTGAGTAGATATCACAACTCAAATCAAGCTGCATACTAGAGGCTCCAGTGGGAAAAAAGTTTAGACCCTCAGATTAATTTTAAGTCAGAATGAGGCTTAAAATTGACACCAACTGTTAGGCATGGTGGAGGCAGCATCATCCTGAGTGGCAGTTTAATTGAAAGGGGTGCCAGAGCAACTGAATAATGGATGGGGACCAGCTCTATAGTATATTTCTCAATGTTGACCTCAATTTAACAGAAGATCAATCCTGGACAATTTAGTTTTGCAGCATTTCATCTGAAATTATGCAGGAACAAACTAAAATCACTTTGTTCATAATGTCATTCTATTCCCCCGTCTCAGACCTAGAATGATAGCAGAAAACTGACTGCATTTGCACAGTCTTCCCTGGTGAGTTACTTTCACTGCACGTTTCAACATCAGGTCAGATTTCTTCATTAAAATGCACTGGAAACGGAGAAAAAGACGGATTGGCTGGATTGCCTTAGTGACAGGCAAACAAAAGGAAGCATCCTGGAGAGCTTCTACAGAAGAGGATGATAAACCTCAGCAAAATCAACAGCTAATAAAAGCAGAAACCACGCTCGGTTAAAAGGGTAAACATCATCAATAAAGTCAACAGGTGGCTGAGGCTGCTCCATGAGCTTGACATTTGCCAAGGAGCCGTAGTCTTCGGCGGAGGAGCGGGCCGCCACATCGCCGCATCAGCACGAGCAACAAGTCTCTGTCTGAGACCAGGCGTCTGAGGTGGGAGCCGAGGCCAACATATCTGATTAATGGGACTGTCAGCTGACGCCATCATTTCTCTCCATCATCCCTCCCTCCTGGATGGCCCTTTAATATTAGGCCAAAGAGACGACAGATCTATGGAAATGTCTACCAGATGTGGTCCTCGTGAAGTTAAGTCACGGAGATCATCTGTGACAGGGAATGTGTTTTATATGTGACCGAACAAATAAATAGTGTCACAGTAATGACTTTTTCCACCTCCCGTAGAGCTGTTTATTTATATCTTTACATTTTATGTCCCCTGCTGCATATTTACATCCATTTCTTTCCTCAGCAGGTTAAAGCACTTATCACTGAAAAATAAATGACTTTGGCATTAATGGAAACATGATTTGCGGCGGTGACTAAACTATTAACACCACAGGGGATGGAATTAAATGCTCTAATATCTAATTTCAAAACAGTTTCTGTTTGTCTTCCAATGGTGACAAGTCAGCATCATCTCAGGTCCACAAACAAACCTTAAATATAGTAGGTTCAAATAAACCCGCAATCATCTGTTTCCTATTAGGATTTTAAGCAATAAATCAATAGAAAGACTTGCCTAATTTAGGAGATGAAAGCAAATGCTACATGTTAAATATGATTTTTACCGTGTATTCAGCCCCATTTACTCTGACACCTCTAAATCAAACCGTAATCTATGCAGCATCATTACAGAAACAGGTAAACATCTGAGAGGTTTTTATAGAATCTTATGGGATCCGAAAGCTTTTAGGCTAAGACCCCCAAAATAATCTAACAGACTCCCTAAAAATAAACATAATTCCTTCACTTTACAATTAATTATTTATGAATTCATTAACAAGTGAAATGTTCTCCTGCAAGTCAAATTTATTTAAAAAAAAATTTCATTTTGTCAGTAATATTTCACTACTTAAACATATATGTAAATGTATTTTTAATTATTTAATAGGAAAACGTTATTTAATTTTTTTAAAATGTAAGGAGTAGAAAGTACAGATATTTGTGTAAAAATGTAAGGAGTAGAAGTAAAAAGTCGCCATAAAAATAAGTAGTAAAGTAAAAATATCAGAAAAATCTACTTGAGTACAGTAACGAAGTATTTGTACTTCGTTACTTCCCATCTCTGTATATAAATAAAATGAAAGGCTACATCCACTTATTTCATTATGTATTTATTCATCTTAATGGTAAATTTGTATTTATGTGTTTTAGGTAGGGTTGTCAAAAGTATCGATACTGAAACGTTGTATCTGGATACGATACTCATTTTTAAAAGTATCGATACATTGCTACCACCAGTGGCATCTAAAGTGCAGAATAGAGGAAAATGCACTTTCTGAACACTGTGTAATTGAATATTTCTGTGCACTTTTCAGTTTCAGACTTTTTTTGTAAGAGGTGCAGCTGCTGAGAATTATTTTTGTTTGTTAACCGGTTTGGCTAGTGTCATTGTAATGTGTGCAAAGCATAGCCGAGGAAGGAACACTTAATTTTAATTTTATAAGTTTTGTTAACCAAGCTTGCTTAATATTGTGCACAGCATTTTATTTATTAATGACAATATTTCTGTTGAAATTTGGAGTCTTTGTTTTTATCCTTGTGGTATCGAAAATGGTATCGAGTATCGAATATTTTCCTTAGTATTGGTATCGAGTTGAAAAGTTTAGTATCGTGACAACCCTAGTTTTAGGACACATTTTGCTCTTCATTTACCTCAGAAATCAGTTCCCAATGATTGTGAGGAACAGCTGGAGACCCTCCAGTTGATGACTCCTGACCCTCCGGGGGCCCACACCCCCTCTTTGGGAACCCCTGCCTTAGAGAACAACAAGTAAATGTCTAGAATGAAAGTTCTGGTGAAGTTAAAAGAAGAGTTAGATTCCAAAACGAAATCCTCAGCGCTCCGTTCAATCCATCATCTGAAGAC